TCCAGGAATCGTAAAGGAGAGAGGGGATTTCCTGGAACGCGAGGAAGGGCGCCGCGGAACAACGGACGCCTCAAACAGCGATAAAAAGCATTGCCGGCCTCCCGGGCGCCTCCGTGCTCCCCGTCCTCGCGGAGGTGGGCAGCGCGCATGCAGCCTGCAGCCGTCAGCCTGCGGGGTGGGCCGGCCCGCGCCACGCGCCTGTCCGGCGGGCCGGCAGGTCGCTCTCTGCGGGCGGCAGGTTGAAGGCCCGCCCCGTCATGCACGCCGCCGACGCCGCCAGTCTCACGCCAGCCCGGTCTGGGGGTCCGGGCCGCGCCGACACTGCCACTGCCGCTGCCACTGCCGCTGCCCGGCTTGGCAGTGCCATGGCAGTGCGATGCTGAGCGCTCCGCCGCTGCGCTGCCCCGCTCGTTCTGCAGTCGTGACCCAGATTCAACTCCCTCGCGTATTCGGGGGAAATGGAATCAAGGTTCCTCTGCGGGATTCGTACTTGATATGTGGCGTGACGTCGGGCCGGCTTCATTTGATTTGCTGTGCAGCACTCCTCTGTGTCAATACGGTTCCCAGTGGCGCTGCCGTTGGCTCGGCGCTGGCTCGGGGTTGCCTCGTGGTCCGGGCCGGCCTGGGCCTGGGCCCCCCGCACGGCCGCAGCCGGCCCGCCTGGGCCCGCCACGTCCAGGAGCCCCATTCCGAAAGGCAGTGCCGTTTCGTCTCTCCGTCTCTGTCGCACTCGCGGGCCGTCCCGCGGGGGTGCGAGAGAGACAGCGCGGCGAAACGGCTGTGTGGAATCGTCCGGCCACTGCCTGGCCACTGCCTGGACACTGCCCGCGGGGAGCCTAGCCGGCCTGCACCCGGCAGTACACTACACTGCACGGGTGCTGCCTGAATTATCCATGGCCCCGTGACCTCGCGGGTTGACAGCGTAAAGGTATTGATTCCCATCTAGCTGTCCGCCCTCCGGCCCGCTGCCCGGAATGCCGTCTGTGTGCACACCCCAATTCGGCGCTAATTTGTTTGAACGGCGAGAAGAAAGACTAATCGAAATCAATTTGCGAAAAGAGCGGATTGAACGCCAATTTCTTTGTTTCGTTTGCGAAAATGTCTTTGGCGCTGCCTGATCGCCGAGCGGCCGAATCCCCGCCGCGTCCGCGTCCTTTGTTCCGGGCCCTCTATAACGATTCCGCGCGTCACTGTCGTCGCGCTGTCGTCGCGCTGTCTCTCTCGCCCTCGCGGAGCGTCATGGGTGCGACGGAGACACAAAAGGCCGGGCGACGAGCCGCTGCGCGGAATCCGCCTGCCTGGCCTGCCGCCACTCACTCGCGGTGCCCTGGCCCGCACGGCCCGCACGGCCCGCACGCGTGGCGCGCCACCCCGTGGCCGAGGGCCGCCGAGGGCCGCCGAGGGCCGCCGAGGGCCGAGGCCTGCCCCTGTCCGCCCGAGTGTTTACCTCCGCTCTGCAGATTCGGGGGCCCACACTGCCGCCCCCACCCCGCGGCGCCATTTCCTCCCCTTTCATCTCCGCGACCGGGATGACAGGGATGACGTCCATTTCGTGACGTCGACGTGGTCTTCTGCGCGTGCGGTGCGGCCGCGCGGCTCCGGGCGCTCCGGGGCTGTGGGAGCAAGACGCCTGCAGGGTAGGCACGCCCGCAGCACGCGTCTGTTTGGCGGCACCCCTGGACCACAAATGATGGATTTTGAGGCGCGACCGGCCACGTCGACGATGCACCTACACGAGGCCTGCGGGCTAGTCCGTACTTAGGGGATGACTCTCCACAGGCGCGCTATGGGGACGAACACGGCCGACACGGCCTGGACAGGGAGGCTGCTGCGAAACCCAACCCGCCATCCTCCCCTCCCGAGGGAGCGGGTAAAAACGGGCCGGCCTGTCACGCATCACTTCTAATTGTGTCTGCTCCGCGCGGTCCGCCGTGGCCCGCGGCCCGCACCACCCGGCTGGCTGAACCCGTCTCCACCGGGCCGCCCCGCCACACTGTGGAGCCCCCTCCAGCGGCGCCATGGCACAACGACACAATGGCTGTACGCACAAAAAAAAAATAAGCAAAACAAGAAATAAAAAGTGCCAGGATCGTAAATTTGGTGGCGTGGGGATTCGAACGCACGACTAACGAGATCTCTGTGACAACTACTGCACGGGCGAGTGTCGCGTTGGTTGGTGTCGCTGCAGTGCTGCATTGCTTCCCGCTTCGCGCTCCAGCACCACCCCGCCCCGCCCCGCGTCCCGATCCCCAGACTAAAGTCCCAGCAACGAGGGCCGCCCGGGGAAGATTCAGAGCAACAAGGAAGTGGAGTGGAAGCAGACAATGTGACAACTGCACGACCTAATGAGGGGCGCGACAGACAGATGGCCGGGCGAGCGGACGGACAGACGGGCAGACAGACAGACTGACTGTGCGACAGAGACGGAGGACTTTGCGGGCTGCGGGCGGCTCAGTCACGAATTCGCCGCAGAAACTTGATGGGGTTGCTTTAGGGTCGTTGGCGGCGAGTCGTTGGCGCCAGGAGGACGTCGCGGGCCTCGCGGGCCTCGCGGGCCGCCGACAGGAGGAACCAATGGACGTGTTTGCGTCCCGCGGCCCGCGGCCCCGGTGTCGCCCCCTCCCCCTCCCCCTCCCCCTTTCCAATTCCCAAGGGAGACACTCGCCACGCGGCCCCCACCCCCGGGTGCCTGGTGGCATGGTGGTGGCATGCTGGCCCTGCGATTCGCGACGCAACCGCCAAATGCCATCGTCCATCGTCCGCCGTCGTCAACCCAGCTGCCTGGACGCGGGGTCGCGGGGTCGCGGAGGGTCATCGCGGCGCGGTGACATGCAGGGCAACGCGCCAATCGCACCGTCCGCGGGTGAAACCAGGAGGGCCATGGAGGCGGCCGTGGAGGCGGCCGCGCACCGCGCACGTGGTGGAGCACGCTGACAGCGCGGCGCGCGCAGCGTCCAACTCACCTGCCTGCTTGTCGTCGGTGTCTTCGGTGCCGTCGCCCAGCGCGGCGGCTCTGACGCGCTGTCACTCACTGCACTCCACTTCCACTCCACTACACTGCACTCGGCCCCGGCCCCTCGCCGCCACACGCCGCTCCAGTCCACTCCAGGCACTCCAGGCACTCGCCTCCACCACGTGACAGCGCGACAGCGCGTGCCCGCGGGCCTGGCGGGTCCTCGGTGCGCCGGGCTGCGCCGGCGGGCTCCGGTCTCGGCCTCGGCCTGGTCCTCGCCACTGCAGCCTCCACTCCGGTTCCCTCCGGTCCGGTCCGCTCCGGTCCTCACTCCGCGCCGACGAGGCGAAGCGAGGCGCAGCGAGTCCAAGCGAGTCCCACTCGGCGGCACGGGGGAGGCCTGGCGCAGGCCACAGGCACGGCTGCAGCCCGACTGGTTGGCGGCCTGGCGGCGTGGCCTGGCGGGGCGGCCTGGCGGGGCGGCTTGGTGGAGCGGGGCGGGGGGTGGCCTGCCGGAGAGGGGCGGGGAGGCATGGGGGCGCGGCGGGCACGACGGCCCTCTCGCCCCCTCCGCACCCCACCGGGCCCCACCGGGAAGGCCTTCCCCCGCGGGGAAGGGGCGCGGCGCGGCGCGGCGTGGCGCGGGTGCCTGGCCAGCCTTAGCGGCACGGATGGCGCCCCCCGACGGCCGCCCCCCACATTACTACACCCTGCTACACCCCCACCGCGCCCACCCCTAGGCCCTAGGCGGCCCAGAGCCGTGCTGCCGCGCTGGCCCATGCCTGCCCCCGCCACTCCAGCCCCCCGTGCCCCCGTGCCCCTCTCCCTCGCTGCGGAGTGCGGCCTGTGCACTGCACTTCTTCCTCTCGCTCAAAGCAGTGACCCTGATCCTTAGGCAAGCCCCGCTCCGCGCCCCGCCACGCCGGTGGTGCCCAACCGCGGACCCGACCGCTACACGGCAAAGGGCCGGCCGAGGCAAAGGGCCGCCGGGCCGTGGGGCCGCGGGGCCGCGCTGGAACGGAAAGGGCCGCTCCAGGGCCGGGCCGTGCGTCAAAGCGTCCTTTCCTCTTCGGCTCCCCTTTCGCCCCTTGCCCCCTTGCCCCGCGCGGCCGCGCAGCCCACCTGAGTTCCGGCCGCTCCAACACCATTAACCACCCTGGCCTCTCTTTATCTTTATCTCACTCGCATCTGAGGAGGTGAGCGCTGAGGGCTCCGATGACTGGGAGGTGAGGTCAGGCCAGCAGGGGGTGCGGCGCGGCGCTGTGGGGGCGCCTGCATGACCGGGTCGGGGTGGGGTGGGGGCGCATGCCTACAGGAAGGGTCTCATCGACCCGCAGAAGGGAAGGGGAGGGGCGCGGCGAACCTTGCGTGGCGTGGGGCAGGGGGGTAGGGGGGCAGACACTGACACAGAATCAAATATGTAGGATAAATATAGGAGCGAAACGGAGAGGGCTTTGCGGACAGAAACAAGGGAAAGAGGAGGCGGGGATGGGGGGCGGGTCAGGGGGCAACGCGAGAGGTGCGAGGGGGACCTGATCGGTCACGGAATGCGATCATGGGCTGACCAATCAGCCAGCCGCCCCAGCCGCCTACAGTGCGGCGCCGAGGTGACAGGTCTGCGACACGAGACAGAGTGGCCGGCGTGGGCGTCATCGGAGCACAAAGCGGCGGTGTCGCGGGTGGCACGTGCGCGACGCGTGCGTGGCGGCACGGCGACGCCCTCTAAGCGGAGTTGGTGTGGGCACGCGGCACGCGGCACGTCGGGGAAGGACAAGGGATTAGCAGTGGGCGTGCGGCGCGGTGCGGTGCGGCGGGCCGGGGAGGACGGAGCGGCCAGGGACAGGTGACATCGGATCAATCAACCAGGCGAGGCACCTGTGAGTGCTGGATGGACATGTGCGTCGTCCGGCCCTGTCGCCGTGCAGGCGGAACAGACAACAGCTCCTGCCAAGGCCCAGGCACTTAGCGCTAGCAGCGAATGTAGCGAATGTTGCGACGACGGGGGAGTGCGGGACGCTATGGCATCAATGAACAACGAGACACATTATTTTCTTCAAAATTCAAGGTTTATTGAGGAAAACGCGTCGTTGTCTTTCGGAACACTCACTGAACATGAGAAATTGTCGAATTAAGACACTGTCTCGACAGACATCTATTTGAGAAAAATAAAATGAAAGGAGAAGACAACAGCAGAGTTTGTGATATATATCGAACCTCAAATTCTTCCTTGATAAATCAACACAGCAAAGTCAGTAAGAGTACCTGAATGAAGTACTATCATTTGGGAAGATTGTTACTCATATTGCTTGAAAAAACTCATTGCACATCTTGAAGTTCAGGACATGATAGTTAATTATCATCCATATCATTCAAATATAGTATCATCAAATAGTTCAAAAATTGCACAAAGGGCACATCACATCCACACTTTCTCATACAGAGCACACAAGAAGATCATTCATACAAAAAATTCAAACAATAACATGGTACACAAAACTTGCTTTCATTGTAGACCTTCCTACCAAGAACTCAGCTCAGCCAAAGCAGGAAACTTGAACATCCCTCACCTACATCATCAATTACACAACTCTTGATTCGGGAAGACAATGTTTATTGCTGAACTTCAGAAGTACAAAGATAATTTAGCCAAATTAGTAATCATGCATTTGAATGTGTAAGTGAAAGAGGTACAAGTGTAGCACTTGTAACATTGACAGATAGGTCTTGGCTGGAAAGTTCTATTTGAAAGTCTGGTTTCGGTTGGCGCAGAACAGGTACACCTCAATACTGACGAGTGTCAGCACACTCCACAACCAACTTTATCCATAATATGCAGTACCATAAGCAACAAGAAGACTGTCAGAAGACAAATAAAAATAATGTTCAGCATTCAAACGATCCGTGCTCAAGTGACATCAAGAGTCTTAAATAACAATTAAAGAATAATAGAAAGACTTTTCAATATGCTGGTTTCAGTTCCTTTGGATTGTGAAGAAATTGAACTGAAGAAGCATAACCATCACTAATGCAAAGAAAGGTAACACCAATTCACGCAAGTGATGATAAGTTTGGAAAATTGCCAACAAAATGATCCCTACGATAACGCCGGTAAGGTATGTTATTATCTCTCCACGATTCCTATCACAGCTGCAGAGAAGATAAGAAAGGAACTGAGGAAATTTTGGTATCACTTTGATGTTTCATGCTACCACAAAGAAAATATCTGAACACACATATCACAATCTGCCCTTTTATCCACAGAGACTGACGAAGGGAACAAAGGACATATTGTTACTGACAGTTGCTAAAGAAATGATTTCTGTAACTATTTTCAAACACAACAGCTGTACATTTTTTATTTCATTTTCAAAGATTTTGTTACAACGTTGTTTGATATGGAATGAACCTGTCTCCATTCGAACATGCTCACACACATGCACACACTCACACTTGATCATTAATATATGATTTGATTAAAATTTAGGTTGATCATCTTTATAAGTGATAACAAATTTTGAAGGCAAGACCATTAATCATAAGGTATAAAAGAAATGGCATGGTATGGCAAGAAAGCATCATGCTACCTTGTATGAGAAGATGACTTTGTGTAAAAGACTTTCATGTGTCAAAATATTATAAATCAGCTTGTGTATTAATAATTATCATAGGAAAAGATTTGCACAGAAAATTACTTTAAGAAAGTTTCTACCTTAGTTGAAAAAGTAGAACACACAATTTCAGAAATAATATGTATATATAAATATTTTTATATATATATACATATACACATGTTGCTTGATTGGATTTGTGCAATAGTTTGAGGCTTTGATAAAATTTGCATACCTCATGCCTGATTTTGCAAGGTTTTAACTTTGAATGACAGCAGTTGCCACGCACCTGTAGAGATTGACTGCACCAAAATAAGTATTTCAGTGATAGGACACAATTCTCACAATATGTTTTCGAATGTTATGTCTCAATAAATTGCACAAATCGAACATACAACAGCATATATAGCACAAAGATCCCTCAGCAACCGCATAAGTAAATGACACAACTGTATCACTGTACATATGTAAAAGTTTATAACTCCTAGCTACCTATTTAAGTGGACTTATCAGGGTCATATTATTGGCTGCTCATATACAAGAATTCAGGCAAGTTAAGAATTATACTATGAAGAAGAATGAGTGATTTGGCCGTAGGGTGAAAACATTATTCTTCAATACTAGAAACATATCACAAGAAGAGAATATGTATGTAGCAAAAGCTACCCGCAAGAAAATGAAGCTGCAGGGTATGACAGTTAGTTGTATGTGCATTTTGTATCACTTCAAGAAATTTAGGGGAAGAAATTTTTCTACATTTCTTCACGTAAACCAACATCAGTTAGAAAATTGTAATAACAAGGCAGGTTTTATGCCACAAAGCTCTAAAAGGAACAATTTCTTAAAATGCAATTACATCTCTGTTTCTGATCACTGCAGTTGGCAAGCAGATAATTTAACACAGTTCAGTGCAGGCAAAACTCGTCACTCTGAGAACCTGGTGAACTGACTGTGGCAAGAACAACACATGTTTCATGCGTGCAGTACACAGCACACCTATTTAGCACCACGAGTTGTTCATAGGTATTTCTTTTATGTCTGAGTCGGGTTAAGTAGTGAAAGGCATTCTTTTCTTTTCATTATGCCAATACATGCAAATCACAATGTATTCGATGTTTTATCACAACAATGCAAGATTAGGTGCCTGCTGATTTTGCACAGTATAAAAAAATTAAATTTTTACAATTACACAGGAAAATATTTAACCCACTCTTGACACATTTCTAGTTCAGATAAATATCATGAGGCAACACTAACCATGGTAACGATGATCCTAAAAAGAAAAAGGAAAAACAAAGAAAACACTTCTTCAGCAGTACATTTTCATTGCAAGAAGATATTGCAGAGGATAACAAAGGTCAAAGTGAGTTTCACCAATACCTGCACCACTTTAAATATAAAAGTCTAATCTACAATAAAAGACAAGGAGGTTTCATCCACCCAAATGTGCTGAGAACAAGGTGAAAAATTAGAAAGTTCCAAAGGCTATAAATGAGTTTACCATAAACATTATCATTAGTTAACTTGAAACAGACATAAGAGAAACATTAAATTGTGATTTTTTTTTACAAATAACAACAATTTTTCTTATAAACAAGATTTTTAACAATATTCTTAGGAGTAATTCAAGAGAACAACCACAGGCGCCTTAATGTGTTTATGTAGTCTAATTCACGCAGTAAATATTGACAGAGGGAGGAAGAGAAACTCAGAAGGTTAAGTTGGAGCAGATTAAGTACGGCACACAACGAGGTGATGAGACGAGGCAGGATGCGATGAGACGAGATGGTCGAAAATGATGAGATGAAAATGTTATATTAATAAATGTTATATGTTATACCTCAATATTGGTGCTTAGTTCTGTAGGTAGGTAGCATATATGGTTAAAACAGGGACACACCCACACACAGTCTGTGAAGGTCCACCAACACAACAAAATGTAAACCCAAATAAACAAGAGTCTTTGCTTGTGAGTTGGCAAGCCAAGCGAGTGAGTCATCCACAGACTAAACATCAACAACCATCTTTTTATGAATGTCTGTGTTCCCGACAACCTGAAACAAAGGATCATATCAAAATTAAACCATTGAAAGTTTTACTTAGAGAATCTGCCTAGATTGAATGAAATGACAGGAAAAGTACTTACAGCACAAAACTCATCAAATGAGATCTTTCCATCCTCATCTTTATCCGCAAACAAAATTGTTTTGTCAACAATCTGTTGCAGCTGAGTATCCTTCAGGTTATTGCCAACCATCATTTTGAGTACCTGAACAGAATGTTAACATTTGAATCATGTCTTTCAATGAAACAAAATAAGGGTATTACATAGGAATATTAGGAAGTCACTCACCTGAAAGAGTTCACCATTAGAAATGAACCCATCATTATCCATATCATAAATTCTGAATGCAAACTTGAGTTTTGACTGCTTATCTCCTTTCACACTGAACTGTGAAACTCCATGGATGAATTCTGAGGACAGATATATTCAATATTAGGCATCCAGAAAATTAAGTGAAATAATGTGGGGTAAAATAACGTGTTCTGATTGTAAGGAATTTACCTTTAAAATCCACTTCTCCATTACCATCAGCATCGAATATATCAATTACACGTTGCACTAAAGGATTTTGTTGTAGCTCTGGGAGGCTCATAAATTCATCGATGCTTAATGCCCCTGAATTGTCCAGATCCAATTTTCGGAAGCGTTTGCCTAGCCTCCGAATTTCATCTGCGTCAACTGTTACAGAGAGAAGAAACATCATGAGACTAAGCAGTCATTTCAAATAAGAAAACAACACATATCAAGACAAAGAAGTGAGCAGTGCCAAGTAATTTGGAGCTCGAAATTTTTGGATGTTGGCCAAGAAATAAAAGGAGTGTACTAGGCCAACTTTACACCCTGACAGATTTTAAGTCTTTCACAACCTTTCACAGAAAAAAATTATAAGTATATAGGTAAGATTTTGTTGATAGTAGTAATAAGGTCATGGAAAATTAATTACCAGGGCTAAATTAAAAGAGAGTTAAGTTAGTTAGCAAAGAAGGATGTAATGAAAATTTTATTTGTTTTAAATCTCGCTTATGACTTTGATTGAAATGGGGGAAAACAACTGGTCATTGCCAAGATAAGATGAAAGAAAAAGAAGTAACACAAAAAAAAATATTGAAAAATAAACAGGAGAAGATCATAGCAAACAAATCAATGAGGGGGAAAACTATGAATGTCAGTCTCCCACGGTAAGAGTGATAATGTTTCACAATCAAGTATGACTACATGCAGATTAGGTAAAACTGCGAACATAAGAAAGATCCCAGTAGCAGACGACTACGAAATGGGACAGACATAACCTCTAAGTACGAGACATTGGACTTGACCTACAGTATGACAGAAGGTAGAGGAGCGTCACAAACACGACCAAATCGCACAAAAAAGATAAAATGTGGAAAATCACACATAAGTGAGTATGATAGTAGCTGACATATGTCTATAAAATTTTACAGTACTTACAGTTGGAGCATAGCTCCATAGGTAGGGACGATTCATTCCCCTGAAACCAAGACACGCACATCAAAAGATGCAGTAGCAAAAAATAACTGAAAACAGCAACACCTACAGAGCAGTACAGTGCCAAGATAAACGCATTTTCAAAATTTTCCGAAAGGACGTTTATTACTGTTGAAAACGTTTCTGCTACCCGAAACCTTACAAAACAATCTTATCTTGGTCACTGTATCCTTAACTTGCGTCAATTGTTAGCAAAAAGAGCGTTAAAACGTACCATTTAGGTAAATTTAAGTTGCTCTGGGAGAGCAAGACGAGGTTTAACTGTCTAAATAATATTTTCGAAGTCCTGCAAACTGCAGTCTGAGTACCAGTGTGGTTCGTTGAATGTTTCTTTTTCTTGGGAGCCTTCCACTTGTAGTTCCGTCGAAGTGGTCATTGTTTAGTGACCCTCACCTTGAAGTGTTGCCAAAGATCCGCTCAAAATAAATGCGCCCTTTCCCTCACATCGAATATTTTCCTTACTCTAGAGATTGTTCTTATTGAATTTTCGGAAACTTTTTCGGGACCTACGGGTGATCGCAGCAAAGCGCGAAACCTCCTTTCCGAGACTGTACTGAAAGACATATAGAAGTCGATACCGTGTCGTCTGCTGTGGTCCTCTACGGCCGTCGAGGTCGAGGAGATGGGGGGAAGCGCAAAGTGCAAAATTAGTACATCCTGCAGCCAAAATTAATGCGGACTCAAGAGGTCGTTTTGAACAGAATCGCTAATGTTGAACGATCTTATCATATCAAGGCCTGGGCCGGGCTCAGTGCGAAGTAGGGCCCGACCGGACTAGAGGACTAGAGCCCTCGTGCGTTAGTGTGCGTGTGCACGTGCACTTCCCCTTGGACGATAGGGGAACCCTTTTCTGAAACGTCGCGTGTTAAAGCTTAATCCGTCTTTGGACAGCATTGTCCCTGCAAAGGGCTGTGTGCAGTATGATGTCGCAATACGCAAAAAATAAGATTGGGTCTGCATGATCCTTAATAGTGTAATGTTGCTCTTTAAACATCCATAACAGTCATAATGCTTATTTTTTTCATTGAGAATTTTTTTTGCCTAAGACTGTTTTTGTTATGTCAAAATACTTTGAGTTGGAGAAATAAAGAACCAATTGAAAATACAGTATGTCGTTTAATACAAAAAATAAGGAGTGTTTTCTTGCACATTTGTACCATTTCCTTGTACCAGTCATTATGCCCATTCAACCACTGGTCTATATTTCAAGGTCAATTCAACATAATATTTTTATATACAATCAGTACATACAAAGATAAGGACGCTTTTGCACAGCCAGAATGCTCATTGTCTTGTTTATAACTTTACTAAAAACTAAAGAACAAACAATAAATAAATAAAAAATAGAACACAGGAGAAAGCACTTTGGAGCAGATAACTCTACTTGGTAGCTTCTGCGCAAACACCAAGGTGTTTACATGTGCAAAAATCACAGACACATACTATGCATGAAACAATAATTGGTACACTTTGGCACTTTCTACATTCAAGCCATAGTTATCTACCAGAGACAATGAAAGAACACCAGTTGACTATAAGATGTGAAAGACAAAAATAAGTAAAACAAATAGGTTTTAGAAAATATGTATGAAATTTAAGACATGGTCAATGGCCTATTCTGTGCTCAAAAGAAACCTAGCCATGAGGCTAAAATGATCTGAACCACAAGCAAGATTTGGTATTGACTTAAGCTCTTGACATTGTCCAACTGTGGGGAGGGTGTAACGGGATAATAACTTCAGACGTCCTTCTTCAATGCATTTGTTTAGGTGATTCCAATATCCACTGAAATAAAATTTCAGAAAATTAAATTTAAAAAGTCTCCTTTTAGTAAATTTTCAATGTGGAAAACATGATACTATGCCTATAAAAGATGTAGTCAACAGTGACCCAGTCGTCTTGGCGAGTAGTTGCTTCACGTGTCATTCGTTTACTAGTGGGAGACTGACGTTCATGCTGATATACACTTTGAAGATTCAGCGCATGACGTAAGCACCCTTTCTCAACCCTTAAATAAAGAGCACATTTATTACAAACCTTTTCATGAATAAAATCAAAAAGAGTAGGCATCACTGTGGTAAGAGTATGGACTGAACCAACCTTCCATAGAAATCCTCTTCATACAATAGAGGAATCTTTGCCTGCTTTTTAGTATAGTGGTGAAGGGACTTGTATCGTTCACTGTTGTACAACTGCAAACATCAACAACAAATTGCACTTTTGCAAAATCTCTGAATATTTTTCTAAGAGAGCAGAAATTTGAATAAACTGTGACTGACCTTAGTTACTGCTGAAAGATCAGCACATTTATCAAGTGAATGGTTATTTGATTGTTTTATGCGGTGAAGCAACACACCCAGGTGCTGGCAGGAATTTGATATTTGAAGTTCATATGGAAGAAGAATTTCTTGGCGAGATTGACCATATGTAAAAGATGAAAGAGACCGAGCAGTTAAATCTGAATAACATAAAAATCCCTCTCTCAGGAACCTATAGACAGCTGTATCTGGTTGTAGATTGAAATCTCCAGTCACTATTGTTGGCAAATACTTTGGTCTACCGTTCCTGAAAAACAATCATAGGTATGAGTACAATTTGAGAAACCAAAGCATTGTTTTCATGAACTTCCATAAATAATGCTTACAACAGATTACTTACACTGTATCTATCCCCATGAATGACACTCTGTCTAACTCCGCCAAAAGTACTTGTGACTGGGCTAGTTTTATGTCATGGCGTCTAGGATTGTATAGGAGGTGAGTGGTTGCAACAACCACATGATTATCAGTACCTGTTTGATTGATTAAATTTCAGTAAAGATCCACAAACTTTCGAGACCGTGAGACTGTTCCCGTCCGTTCCCTCTAACACCCCATGCAAAAGAGACAGAGTCCTTCAGCTCCTGCATAGTAAATAAACAAATTATAGTATGATAAGTTACCTTCAGCATGTTTCAGCGCTAGCTTAACAATTACAGCAACATTGTTTCTGTCTAAAACACCGAGGCCTTGATGATAATATTGAAAATATTCTACTGTAGCACTTTCTATGAGACAGAATTTGTCTGATTTGTAGTAAATGGCACATCCATCTGCATGTCCAAGAGACCTTCGTTTAAATATTCCTTCATAACCTGCGACCAGAAATGGAAATTAGAATTTGTCCTTCAGTACACAGAAAAAGACACCAAAGCAATTTTTTAAATTTATTTTTTTGGCTTAAATCAAATTTCTGCATACCTAAGTCTTTGAGTTTGCTGTAGAATGAGTCGAGGTGGTTTGCTTGAACCTCTTGAAGACATAATATCTGTAAGCATGGAATAATGTTTTCAAAGGAATAACAAATTAACTATCAAGATTACATTTCAAACATTATGAGAAAAACATACATCAGCATTTCTCTCCTCAATTTCCATCAAAAGAATTCTGCTTCGATGTTCCCATGTAAGTGCTCTGTCATCATGCTTACTGTAAAGGTATTTATGATCTTCTAAAAGCTGTTGAGCTAATACATTGTAAGACATAACAGTAAAAGAGTTATGATCTTGGAATTCAATAGATGGACCACCATCTGAAATAAAAACCATTCATCAACAAAATTACATATAATAACTTAAAAGAAAACAAATAAGAATGAGAGAAATCAAAATTATCTACCTTTGTGCAGCAGGGTATTTCCTAAGTCAGTATGTTCCCATTTCCTATACTCTTTCATAAGATTTTTAATGAGTTTAGTGTCCATTTCAATTTCTGACAAATTTTCCACATGCAATCTGTCAGATGTGTTTGTGCTGGGAGGTAGAGGAATATCTTGTAATCTAATATGATTGCTAATTACCATTCTGAATGGATTCGCAATTGTTCCGGGTGGCAGGGGTATATCATGTAGATCACTAGGGTTCAGTTCAATGACAGACACTTCGTCCTCGTCTGGCTTTTTCTTGCGATTAAGATCATCTTTTGAATCCCTTTGTTTATCATAGACTACAATAATATCATCATTGTCATCATTATCTCTTTCGTTGATTGATTGCGATGATTTCACAAAGGTGCCTGAAAATGTACAGTTAAAAATTAGAAGAGTAATAAAAAAAAAGTCATAGAGACATGAATAAACTTTAATTTTCTCTGCACCTTGAAATCCAGAAGCCATTGCTAAATGTTTCAACCTATTCCGTGTTCCAGATTTCTCAGCTTTCTCAATATGCTTCTTCTGCTTCCGCTCACGCTTTGAAGATCTTTTTCTTTTATGTTTCATGTCAGGGCACAAACCAAAAGGACCATGAGTAGATTTAAAAGAAGGCCCACATACATATGATAAACCAAAAGTGACTGTACTCAAGGATGTAGAATCCCCATCAATAGTTGTACAGCTTAATGGGGTGAACAGAAAATACTTGCGACTCAATATAGGGAAAATTTCGGTCAAAATAATTTTACTAGAGGCAGTGCAGACTGTGCCAATAAGAAACATAAGAATGTTTCAAGATGATTTAAAACTTGAGGCAAGTGCATTTACTCATCTGTTGAGACAGACAAAGGTGTACTTTGTCATGGGGAATAAACAAACTATATGAAGAACATGGCCACAAACAACGTAAATTGACCGTTAGGTGAGGAATTTCGACTTAGGAATCGGAAGTTTTCACTTTATGTCAGAAGAACCGAATGACGTTCAACGACAAGGTGATTCCTGCTGCTCGAAATTGAATCTACCTGCATCACAAATGGCTAAGTGACATTTGATACGGAGAACCGTACCACAACAAGCAAGTCTCAGCAAAAGAAGAGCAACAAATCATCGAAAAATTTGGGTCCGAATGAAGTTAAAGAGCGTGCCTGGCATTTCACACCATCCATACCATTTTCATCAAAAGCAGGGATGGGTTAGTTTAGGTTAGTCCGTTGTTGTTGTTGTTGTTGTTAACCCTGTTGATCGAACTGAGATCGAGATCAAAGGGGAAATCTCGGAGATCTCGAAAGTCTTCGATTGTTTCGAGGCGCGCCAAACACAACACACGTCGCTCTAGTGGCAAGGCAAAAGAGGAGGTAGCAGCAAAAACATATTAAAAGGCCTAACATTTATTCGTGTAGAAACAGCGCTACAGTTTAAAATCCACTCGGATGATGGCCAGTGCAGAACGTGAACACGGGCATGTCAGCAAGTCTCCGGCTTCCTCGTTATCTCCTGCTCGCTCAGCTGTTCCGCGACCAAGGGTTGGCAAGCCTGAAATGTCACCTCAAAATTGAGACTGTCGACTTTGAAGGAACGAGAATGGCATGCCATGTACCCAGACTGGGACGCACCTCGTGCACCTCGTCCTTGTGCACAGAGTACTTCCTGGCCAGCGTGGTCTGGCGGGCGGCGAGCTGCTGCTGGCGGTGACTGCCCTTGGCGAGGCCCTTGGCCCACGCCACCTCGGCGGCCAGGACAACCAGGGCGACGAGGAGGCCCGCGTACAGGATGCAGAGGGGCGGCGCCACCGCCTCGATGTGCAGCGCGCTCCACCGCACTGTAGTGGCGCAGGTGGCGCAGGGCTGCAGCGAGAGGTGCGGCGTCTGCAGAGCGCGCTGCACCAGCCCCGCCTCGTACAGCCGCACGCTCACCTGCCAACAGTCGTTGCGTCGCCTGTCTCTCTCGCACCCCTGCGGTAACCCTACGGCCCTACGGCCCGCTCCACGAGTGCGAGAGAGACAGGGGACGCGTTGCGTCGGTGTGGGCAGCTCACCTCCGACACGCGCTCCACGTACGGCGACCACCGCGGCGCCGTGAACAGGTGCAGCGTGGAGGGCCGGAGGCACTGGTCGCGAAAGACGTGCAGACCGGCCGAAGGGTTGCGACGGTTGTAGTCCGCACAGCGAAGGTCCACGGTGAGCACGGCGGCGTCGTGGTCAATGGCCACGCGCCGCAGCGCCTCGTTGAGGTGCGTGTCGCAGACGCGGAGGCGCTCCATCAACTGCTCTGCGTCGTCGCCCTCGCCGTCCGCGCCGTCCATCGCGCGCCGCAGCATGTCCACGACACCCACAGAGCCCTGCAGCGCCAGCGAGGAGCGCAGCAGCTCGCGCACGGAGTGCATCAACGGCTGCGGCAGCGGCACAAGCCCAGGTGCTACACAGTTGTACCCAAGCCCGGCAGAGAATGCAGCGAAGGGAGCGGCTACCTGCGACCGCGAGGTCATGGAGGCGCTCTTGGCGGAGCCCCCGACCACGGCGACGAGCACGACGGCGGCGAGCCCCCAGTGGGCGACGACGGCGCGCAGGGCGAGGGTGCGGACCTGGGTGCCGCCGCGGCGCCGGTTGAAGGCCACGGGCTGCTGGAGCAGTGGGCCGCACAGCAACGCCCACGCGCCCCACAGCCCACCCAGGCGGTCCAGGCCGGGCCGGTGCAGCAGGGCCATCGCCAGCCCCGTCGCCACGAAGGACAGCCCGATGACGCTCCACGTCCCCGAGGACAGGTAGTCTTTGAGGCTGAGCGCGGACACGGACTTGATGGGCACGCACCACACCAAGCACACCACCATGGGCGAGTCGTCGTACCTTCGCGTCAGACACGGCACAAATGAAAGCTCGACATCTCTTTGGCCATTTCGCGAATGGTTGGTCAAAGCGCGTACCACACGGGGCCGTCTGTCACCGAGCGGATGGACATGGTGAAGGCGAGATGCGCGTGCCGCAGAGAGTCCCCCAGGCGCGACTCGCACGTCGCCGTGGCGTTCTCAGCCGTGTGCAGCACGGCGTGGAAGTTGAGGCGCTGCCGCATCACGCGGAACACGTCCTTGAGGCTGCCTTCCAGGACCTCCTGCAGAAAAGACGTTGGGGAGCCCGCACTGTCTCGGTCCGCACGCACGCCGACTGTCCGTAGAGTTAAAAGAGGAGGCCGTAGCCGCGGCCTGCGCTCACCTGGCCAGTGCTGGGGTCGGTTTCGAGCATCATGAACGGGTAGTCGGTGTTGACGTGCACCGTGAGGTTGCAGCCGCGCAGGTCGCGCAACTTGTCCCGCGGGAACAAGTCGCGGCCGTGGCGGAAGGCGCCGCCCCCGCCGCCCCCGCTGGCGTCCGGAACCCACTCGTCCACCAAGACTGGAGCATCGCTGTTGCACGGCCCCTCGCGCTGCCCTGGCACGCCGTAGGGGTACACGGAGTAGACCAGGACGCCGCCGTCGCCGGCGGGCAGCAGCATCAGCACGTTCACCAGGCCGGCGACGCGCCACAGCGCGCGGAGGTAGCCCAGGCCGTCTTCGGGGTCGCCCAACCACACATGCACGCGAAAGCCCCTGTAGTGCAGCCACCGAGGGCGCCTGCCTCGCCGCGGCTCGTCCGCGTGCACGAACACGTTCAGGAAGCGCGCGTACTTGGGCGTGGGGAACGGAGAGCCCAAGGCCTGCATCCAGGTGGTGAGCGGCGCGGCGGCGCGCGGGGCGAGCACCTCGTCCGGGAGGCACGCCGCGGCGCTGGCGCACCACACGGCCGTGTGCTGCGCGGGGTAGCGAGTCTGCACGGCGGCCAGGCACGCCGCCCACGCCGGCACGCTGGCCGAGGCCGTGATCCCCGCCACCAAGTCTGCGGACACATGCACTTCAGCTGCCAGTGCGTCACCATGATGGGCAACCCGTCGGGCCTTCAATTATCATCAAACACACTCGATTGCCAAACCTTCGACCGCCCCTCTCGCCGTGCCCGGCTTGCCCGCCGTGTCCGCCTCGCACGCGCCGACGATGCACAGCACGGCCACTAGCAACAGAGACGTGCGCATTTTCCTCGCGGAACCTTTCCCCTTGCCGTTCACGAGCGGCCAGCCGCGGCCAGCAATCGGAAATTTCCCGCGTCCCCTCCGTGGGCCGCAAGGGCGCGCGTGGCCGAGTTTCTGACGGCGGCCTGAACAAGCAACGCCGACACGCCGCAACGCCCGCCACGCCCCAAAGTGACCAAGTTGCCGAGACTCCGGACGTCCGCCCGACCCCGGCCACACCCGCCCTCCCCCGAGGAGAGCGTCGGACAGTTTGACCAAAACAAACAGGACGCGCGTGGAGGAAGCCGTTTCTTGGCACCGCTTGGGAACATCCTCTTACCTCAACACGTGTGTTTTTAAAAACACAGAATCTAAGGGATAAAAAATTGAAAGCTTAATCATGTTCCAGGAGAAAAAATAATTTACGTTCGACACATTCGCCCCTACACACTTGTGCCACACGTATTTCTTTTATTAATTAATAAGAAAACTTGGATACGCCTGCTGCTGTTGCTACCCGCAAAGTTTCGCCTCCGTCGCGGCGGCCTGGCGGCCCGGCCGCTTGGCGACGGTTTCGCGCGTGGCGGTGCTCGCTTATCTCCCTGACTCGGACGCCCGCCCGCGGTGCCCGGAAAGGCGCAACGTCCGCGCTTCCGCGCGGCACTGCTAAAAAAATAAAACAGTGGACTCTGCACCTGCATCCACAATAGAGGGAATGACACCTGCAGCTTGAAAGGTGGGACGGGAACAGGTGCTTTCAAGGAGGTCGCAGGGCTTACGGACCCGTTCCTTTGAACCGGGACCGAATCGTGTTTGGACTTCCCCGTGTTGACGCGTTCAGTGATTGGCGATTCGGCGGAGCGTGCCGAAAAAAATGAAAAAAATATATATGCTAAAATTTGGACGCTTGGGCCCGGAGGTTGACTGACGGTCGATACCTCTGCGCGAGGGGGGAATCCACTCCCCACTATATTGTTATGGACCCGTGGGCACACACTCCACATTCAGGCGGCCAAAAACGTTGAAATAGGCAACATGTGGTCCAAAATTAGCTCAAATCCTGAAATCTTACACTTGCAACACTGTTACATTGCAATAGTTAAGTTATGGACTCGGTCAGTTCTCGCCCGCGCTTTCGGCTGCGGTGATTCGGAGACTGATTTCTATCGAACTGGGAACCAGCGCGAAACAGTGTTCAGAAATAAGAAATCCCCTGGGACTTGAACATGGTCGGTACGCCGAGGACGTCGATCGTCAAAGGCAGAACTACGCCGCATTGAACACGGTCCGACCGCGGCTGCGCCTAGCTGCCACGCTCGCGCGCCGCCGCCGAGTGCCGCTGATGCGGCGCTGACCCCTGAACTCCGGGCCGCTCTGTGCAGCGCTGCCCGGGCCTTCTGCTGCAGAAGCACTTCCCAATTTCATTCGGCTTGCACTTTTGAGGGTATATAAGGCCCGGCAGGGGCTCAGTTCGGTACGTTGGACGGTGCCAAGCATCCCACAACGCCAAGATGTGGAAGTCTCTGCTTCTGTGTGCCCTTGGTGAGTTGTCTGGCTTCGTCCCTGGCTGCCCTGCCGCAGTGCTCGAGCCTTTCGGCACTTTGCCGAACGCTGCTCGCGGTCCAAGCTGTTTCCCTGAGTGCTCTGCCCTGTGGCTAACTTCTCTCTCTTTAACTTGCAGTGGCCGCCGCCGCCGCCTCCTCCGAGTATGGCTGGAAGGCCGGCTCCGAGTACAAGTACCAGGTGCGCGGTCGCACTCTGACCGCCCTCCACCAGGTCTCCAACCAGTACGCTGGTGTCCTCATGAAGGCCCAGCTGTCTGTCCAGCCCAAGTCCGAGAACATCCTCATCGCCAAGGTCTCCAACGCCGAATTCGCCAAGATCAACGAGCAGCTGCCCGCTGGCTGGGGTACCCCCATCCCCTCCAGCAAGCTGAGCTGGCACCAGCTCCCCATCAGCAGCAAGCCCTTCGAGATCAAGCTCAAGAACGGTATCGTCGATGAGCTGATCGTCAGCAAGAACATCCCCACCTGGGAGGTGAACATGCTCAAGGGTATCGCCAGCCAGCTGCAGGTTGACACTCAGGCCGAGAACCTCATCAGCTCCCGCATCAACAACAAGCCCAGCCACGGCTCCGCCAACGGTGTCTACAAGACCATGGAGGACTCCGTCACCGGCGAGTGCGAGGTGATGTACGACATCAGCCCCCTGCCCCAGTACCAGCTCCAGAGCCGCCCCGAGCTCGCTCCCATGCCCCAGCTCCGTGGTGACGGTCAGCTGATCGACATCGTCAAGACCAAGAACTTCAGCCACTGCGAGCAGCGCCCTGGCTACCACTTCGGCCTTAACTCCCTGACCGACGCCGAGCCCGCCTCCTCCAAGATGGGCGAGTTCATGGCCCGTTCCTCCGTCAGCCGCGTCGTCCTGTCCGGCAGCCTCCAGCGCTACACCATCCAGTCCTCCGTGACCACCAACAAGGTCATCCTCAGCCCCGTGCTGTACAACAACCAGAAGGGTATGGTCGTCTCCCGCATGAACCTGACCCTGGACTCCGTGCACTCCGCTTCCGGCTCCCCCCAGAGCGTCGCCAACCCCCGCAAGATCAAGGACCTCGTCTACGACTACAACAACCCCTTCTCCACCACCAACAACGCTGAGCTGAGCGACGAGTCCAGCTCCTCCTCCTCTTCCAGCTCCAGCAGCTCTTCCTCCTCCAGCAGCTCCTCCTCCAGCGAGAGCGGCAGCCAGGAGCAGCTCAAGAAGCAGCAGAAGAAGCAGAAGCGTAGCAACGGTACTGACTCCAGCTCCTCCAGCTCCAGCAGCTCTTCCGACTCCTCCAGCTCTTCCAGCTCTTCCTCCAGCTCTTCCTCCAGCTCCGACTCCAGCTCTTCCAGCTCTTCCAGCGAGAGCCAGGAGAACCGCCGCATGAACAGCGCCGCCGCCAAGCGTTTCCGTCGCTCCCTGAAGAACCAGCAGTCCCCCAACTCCAGCTCTTCCAGCTCCAGCTCCTCCAGCTCCAGCGAGGAATGCGGTAACAACACCATGAGCGCTTCTTCCGACTCCAGCTCCTCCAGCTCCTCCAGCTCCAGCTCCTGCTCTGACTCCAGCTCCAGCTCTTCCAGCTCCAGCTCTAGCTCTAGCTCCAGCTCCAGCGAGTCCGACGAGTCCCAGTGGGGCAAGAACCGCAAGGCCCGCAGCAACCGCAACAACACCGGCTCCGACAGCTCCAGCTCTTCCAGCTCTAGCTCCAGCTCCAGCTCCTCCAGCTCTTCCTCCAGCTCCGACTCCGACAGCTCTTCCTCCAGCTCTAGCTCCAGCACCAGCTCCAGCGAGGAGTGGTTCCAGTCCAAGCCCAAGATGAACCAGCCCCCCAAGCACCCCATGCTCCCCTACTTCATCGGCTACCAGGGCAGCAACATCGCCGCCTCCAGCCAGGTCAACGCTGTCCACGCCGCCCAGAAGATCGCCCAGCAGATCGCTGAGGAGCTCCAGCACCCCAGCCAGATCCCCGAGAAGGCTACCCTCGCCAAGTTCGCCGTCCTCGCCCGCCTTGTCCGCATCATGGACGTCAAGCAGATCGAGCAGGCTACCCACGAGCTGTACAACTCCGCCTCCTCCAAGAGCGCCAGCCAGAGCCAGAGCGCCACCGCCAAGAGCGTCGCCTGGAAGGTCTACCGTGACGCCGTCGCCCAGGCCGGTACCGGCCCCGCCCTTACCGTCATGAAGCAGTGGATCGAGAACCACAAGGTCCAGGGTGAGGAGGCCGCCGAGCTCCTCGCTGTTCTTCCCGAGACCGCCCGCACTCCCACCCGCGAGTACATGGACACCTTCTTCTCCCTGATCAAGAAGTCCGAGGTCCAGAAGCAGCAGTTCCTGAACTCCTCCGCCATCCTGTCCTTCTCCAACCTGGTCCGCCGCGCCCAGGTCGACAACGCCACCGCCCACAACCGTTACCCCACCCACGTCTACGGCCGCCTGAACCCCAAGAAGGCCTCCGCCGTCACCCGTGACTACGTTCCCTACCTTGCCCAGCAGCTCAAGAGCGCCGTCCAGAACGAGGACAGCCACAAGGTCCAGGTCTACACCCGTGCCCTCGGCAACATTGCCCACCCCAAGATCCTCGCCGTCTTCGAGCCCTACCTTGAGGGCCAGAAGCAGGTCTCCACCTTCCAGCGCCTCCACATGGTCGTCGCCCTGAACAAGCTCGCCAAGATCTCCCCCAAGGTCGCCCGCCCCGTCCTGTTCCGTCTGTACCAGAACGCCGGTGACGCCGCCGAGATCCGCTCTGCCGCCGTCTTCCTGCTCATGAAGACCAACCCTCCCGCCAGCATGCTCCAGCGCATGGCTGAGTTCACCAACCAGGACCCCAGCAAGCAGGTTCGCTCTGTTGTCCAGTCCGCCATCCAGTCTGCCGCCAACAACCTGCAGTCCCAGGACGACCAGGAGCTGGCCCAGAACGCCCGCGCCGCCGCTGACATGCTGAACGCCACCTCCGGCATCCAGTACTCCAAGGTCAACCTCAAGTCCAACGATGTCGACGAGATGAACCTGGCTTACCAGGCCGCCCTCGCCACCATCGGCAGCGACGACAGCTTCATCCCCTCCGCCGCCTTCGTCAGCGCTCGCGCCAACCTCGGTGGTTTCCAGGCTAACTACTTCCGCGTAAGTTTAACTCTTACTCAGACCATTTTTCTAAAGTGTACTTTTTCGAAAAGCCTACTGACGTTTTGTTTTCATTTTCCAGGCCGGTGCCATGGCCTCCAGCTTCAGTGACCTCCTGGACCTCTTCGTCCAGCAGTTCCAGACTGGTGCCTACTCTTCCTCCTCCAACTCCCGCTCCCACAAGTCTGGCAAGTCCGGCAAGCAGTCCTCCTCCAACTCCAACTCTGGCAGCTGGACCGTCGACCAGATCGCCAACATGCTGAACATCCAGGCCGACCAGCAGGAGCAGGTTGAGGCTAACTTCCTCTTCAACGCCCTGTCCCAGCAGCGTTTCTTCACCCTGGACAACCACACCATCGAGCAGATCCCCGAGTTCGTCAAGCACGCCGCCAACGCTCTCCGCTCCGGCGAGAACTTCAACTACACCAAGCTGTACGAGCGCTACTCCCTGACCATGGGCTTCCCCACTGAGATGGGTCTGCCCCTCGTCTACACCCTGAAGGCTCCCACCGTCGTCCAGGTTGGCGGTGAGGTCCGCGTCCGCACCCAGCCCGACATGGCCAACGGCCCCAAGGACTCCGTCCGCATCCCCAGCGCCGTCAACGCCACCGCTGACGTCCACTTCGTCTTCGCTACCCGCACCCAGGCCAAGATTGGTTTCGTTACCCCCTTCGACCACCAGCGCTACATCGCCGGTCTCGACAAGGACGCCCTCGTCAACCTGCCCATCCGCGCCAACATCGACCTCGACCTCGAGAACGCTGAGGTTCGCGTCAAGCTGCAGCCCATCGAGGCCAACAAGGACGCCAAGATCGCCATGTTCCGCAGCCGCCCCTACACCGCCCAGCACAACATCCTCGACATCTTCAACGCCGAGCAGAAGCCCATCCACGTCCGCAAGCCCCAGCAGGCCAACTTCACCGTCGGCCAGGACATGACCGGCATGGCTTTCCGCATCGACGCTGCCTGCGAGAACGAGTTCGCTGACTTCGCCACCATCTACAACCAGGCCAAGAACTACGACGGTATCTCCGCCCTCCTGTTCGCCACCAGCGAGCAGACCATCAAGCCTTTCGACTTCGCCATTACCTACGACCACCAGAAGACTTCCGCCAAGTCTGTCACTCTGACCGCCTCTTACGACAACGACTCCGAGGACGAGTGCTACGGCACCAACTGCTCTTCCGAGAGCAAGAAGAGCAAGCGCTCCGCCAACAAGTCCGAGGAGAACTTCGACGCTGAGTCCAAGAACCCCAGCCAGAACGCCGCCAACCCCAGCAACAACCAGGCTAACAGCCAGGCCCGCCAGGAGCAGTTCCTCCGCCGCGCCGCCGCCGGCATCAAGGCCAGCAACGCCTCCGTCATCGACCTGTCCGCCCAGTTCAACGGTGAGCACAAGGCTGTCTTCGTCGCCACCGCCGCCTACGCCAACAGCCAGGTTGACGAGAAGGCCCGCGTCCTCCTGTACCTGCGCAAGTCCCCCGCCCGCTCCTCCGAGTACAACAAGGAGCAGCAGCTCGCCATGACCGCCACCGCCCAGATGCCCAACGTTCCCCTGATGAACTACCAGAAGGCCCTGAACGCTGAGCCCAAGAGCCAGATCCAGGCCCAGATCGCCTTCGGCGAGAAGCTCGACTCCTCCGCCTCCCAGGTCAACGTCCAGGCTCAGATGAAGCAGACCTCTGCCCGTCGTGAGTACGTCCGCCACCAGCCCATGAGCCAGCTCTGCGAGCAGCAGATGGAGCACGGCAACTACTTCCTGCCCGCCTGCCAGAACGCCACCCTCCAGGCCAACATCATGGACCTGTACACCGCCAACATCCAGTTCGACAAGATCTCCCAGCGCGTCAAGAACGCCACCTACAAGGCCTACGCCGCCGCCCGTTACTTCGGCTGGCAGTACAACTCCGAGAACTTCGTCAACCCCAAGAACGCCCACAACAACAAGGTCGAGATGGAGCTCCGTTTCGCCCCCAACCTGAAGTCCGCCAACCTCTCCATCGAGGCCCCCATCATGTCCGCTGAGTTCAACAACGTTCGTCTTAACCCCTGGGTTGCCCGCGCCGCCGCCGTCCACCCCATGATCCCCCAGTCCGGCATTGTCGCCTACAACGCTCTCCGTGGTGGTTTCCGTAAGTATTCTCATGTAATGGCATAGGGGGAGGGGAACGGGGAATCGAACGCGAGGCGAAGTTTTTCGTACCAACATCAACAACCGCCACGATCAATAACCACGCGTGACCTCTGCTTGCAGCCATGTGCGTCGTCGACCGCTCCGCCGCCAACACCTTCGACAACAAGACCTACCCCCTGAACCTCGGCAACAACTGGCACGTCATGATGCAGTCCGTCCCCAAGGACTCCGCTGACTCCAGCTCCTCCAGCCAGGAGGACGCCACCGACAACGTCTCCGTCCTCGTCCGCGACGCCTCCGGCTCCCACGACAAGAAGGACCTGAAGGTCATCCTCGGCGACGACGTCATCGAGTTCACCCCCAGCTCCAACTACGCCAACATCAAGCAGAACGGCCACTCCGTGTCCTTCTCCGCCAGCCAGGGCTCCCAGCTCCGCGACCAGAACAACGAGATCCTCGCCCAGCTGTACCCCATGCCCTCCGGCGTCGTCCGCGCCTGGTTCCCCCAGCAGCAGCTCACCATCCTGTACGACGGTGCCCGCGTCACCCTCTTCGTCAGCCAGTCCTACCGTGGTGAGGTCCGTGGTCTCTGCGGTACCTTCGACGGTGAGAAGACCACCGACTTCACCTCTCCCCGCAACTGCGTCCTGAAGAACCCCCAGCAGTTCGCCGCTACCTGGGCCGTCGCCCCCTCCGGCGCCGTCAAGGAGCAGCAGCAGAAGGCCAACCAGGCCGCCTGCTTCCCCCAGAACATCCTGTACGGTGACGTCATCAGCGACAACGAGGCCGGCCGCCACCAGCCCCACCGCCGCAGCTCCGGCAAGTCCTCCAGCCACTCCAGCCACAAGTCTGGCAGCTCCAGCCGCAACTACTCCCCCAAGTCCGCCGCCGGCTGCACCAGCCACCGCGTCAAGGTCATCCAGGAGAACGGCCAGATCTGCTTCTCTCTCCGCCCCCAGCCCGCCTGCAACGCTCACTGCCAGCCCACCCAGAAGGTCGAGAAGAAGATCGACTTCCACTGCGTGTCTGACAGCTCTGCTTCCCGCCACTGGGTCGAGATGATCAAGAAGGGTGCCAACCCCGACTTCAGCCAGAAGGGCGCCAACAAGTCCCTCAAGGTCAACATCCCCGAGAGCTGCCGTGCTTAAGTGGAGTTGATGATGTAGTCTGAGACCAATAAAGTCAATGATGATTTTGCAAGCATAAAACACAATACTTTTTATTCCAACGAATCCATCCACGCGTTAAACAACCTACACGCTTTCCATTTTATTCGCAACATACTCTTGAACGCACTGCCCCATGCACGGCCGACGGCATGCCGCCTGGACGGGAAGGCAGCCCATCGCGCTGGCGAGCGAGGCGGCGTGCGGTCGACAGGCTGACTCGCCGCACCCCGCCCCGCCCCGCCCCGCCCCGCCCCGCCCCGCCCCGCCCCGCCACCTCAATCGGATAGCCAGGGTGGCCGGTGGCCGCCGGTCCCGCGCACGCGAACCACAACGACGCGAACGCCAGCCTTCTCCGTCGCACACCGCCACCTCGGCCACCTCGGCCTGAGTGAGCGGGTGCGGCTCCCAGCGCCTCGCACCACTCGCACGCAGCCAGGCCAGCTCGGCGCCGCGAGCCTCGCCGCGAACCTCGCCGCGAGCCGCGGGGAAGCACTCCATCATCACAACTTGCAAGGGACTTTGCGATAGCGCATAGCGCAGGCATAGCGCGCAACAGTGTTCGTTCGTGCCGCTGAGCAGGCGAAGGCAGGCGAAGCACGGCCAGGCCTAGAGTCGCCATGCCAGCCACACGAAGGCCCTGCGCCCCTATCGCGGCGTGCTTTCGCGTCAGGAAACTACAGCCAGTGCCTGTCTCTCTCGCACGCCATCTACTTCTCTGGTGAGCGACAGCGACGGGCTCGGCCTTTCGGACGCGGGCCGCGGGCCACGGGCCTCGCGGTGCAGGGCAGCAGGGCACACGATGCAAATGAGGCAGTGTGGGTGTCGGGGTGTTCAGGCCGAACAACAACCAAGGTTGCGGCCTTCGAGCATATCTGGAATTTTTTCGGAGGCGTTTTGGTTATGGAACTTTCTGCTCCACTGTGATCCAAAGGACAAGATCGTGTACCTGCCGTAAAACCGCCGTTTCGCCGCGAAGGTGTTGGCAGCCCTAGCAGCCGCCGTTTAGCGCCTGTGAGGTAGGCCACGAGCCCCTCCTGCAACACACCGGTGTGGAGACGGTGGCCTACCTTGCCCCTGTGAAGGCAGCAGGGGCGAGGTAGGCCACCGTCTCCTCACCGGTGCGTTACGGGACGGGCTACCTCACAGGCGCTAAAGGCACAAGCAGAAAGGAAGCAGTGCTCTGGGAGAGGGAAGAGAAGCTGCCAACACTTGACGATGAAACACGAAACAGCGCTTGTGACCACAACGTTGCTGCCTCAAAAATAGATGTCGATGGACGTCCGACAAAGTATGTAGATTGTTTTTGCCATAAAGGGTGTCTTCATCTCATTTACTGCTTGACGTAAACAACCGAAATGGTAATTTTTCCTTTCATAATTTTACCAACTTGCAAAAAACAAATGTAGGTTAGACGATGTGTCGCCGAGTTTGAAACTGCGCGCGCCTCTGAAAGCACCCATGTTGACCAACGTTTGGATGCGCGCAATGTTCCGATCACACACAGAGTTCCGTATCAATCTCTGTGCTATTGCGGGGTGGCTTAATACTTTTGACTTTTTTCGTGAGAATGAAACTTAAACGACCCTCACAGCAGACTTTTCGATAAACCGGTGGTTTCAAACATAAGAAAGACGATCAGCTCTGTCATGTTGGTGTGATCACGATATTGATTGTTTGGCTTGGCGTCTGCCAGCTGTCGTCTGCAGTCCCTGTGTTTTTCCTCCCCATCTGTTCACGGCTAAGCGGTAGAAATTGAATCTCCGAAGAATATTGCAGGTAAAGTCGAATTTATTTCGATTTCAATGTCATCCCATCGCACTCGTCCCATTTTCTTTCAATCGCGTTCTTTCGGTCGCACTTGTGCCGGTTTGTTGAGCATTTGTTGAGTCCGTATGGGGCGCATCGTAACCGAGCAGCAGCAGCAACAGGGCCTCCTCGAGGGGGTGCAAGACGGTGGACGCCGATAGTGCCCGCCGCCCCGAGGCGTCGCGCTCTCCCGTCCAAGCTGGCTGATAAGTCTCGGCCCGGGCAACAGGTGGTGCAGTTACTGCGACCCCTCGCCACTTCGCAAACTGTTTTTGGCTCGGCAATGTTTTGCGGCCGGACGATTGGGGGTAGTGGGTGGTGCGTAGGCCCTCCCACCCCCTAGGCTGCCGGCCATATGTTACACATGTTTCGCCTGTGGCCTTGCAAAGGGGTCGACCGTATGCCTCTGATTGTTGTTTATGGATCAAATCTGTGGTGTTAAGGTAACTTCCATACAGTATGTTTCGTTTCTACATTCCAGGTTGGGGGAGGATGACGGGAAAACTGTTGGGGGATTCAGTTGCCAAGCCCAAAGCGCCATCAGATGTAAGCAGCGATGATGAGGGTCAGGCGATGTTGTCGGGAGAGCTCCACCAAGAGCCCCAGGGTCGAAGGCGCAAGTAAGATTTTTCCAATACTTTGTTCTCTTACATTCTACTGTAACCCATAACATAATTTTTAAAATTCACAGGCCAAATCCCTGGGGCTTCAGCATTTATCAACGCCACCTGCCGAGCTGGTTGCCTCAGCGGTTTGCTCTGTGTGTGTTGGCTCATCTTGGATTTGTCCTTCTGTACATTATGAGAAGCAACATGAGTGTTGCTGTTGTGAGGATGACAACCCCATATGCTGTTCTGGAAAATGATCATTTGACTACGGTAACCATTTCTACTACCCTATCTGTACTGTTGGCCTGTAATCCTATCTAAATATTTATCATGGTTAATTTGCAGCGGCTCGACTTTGACTGGACGCTACCACAACAAGGGTTTTTACTGAGCTCTTTCTTTTTCGGGTACATATTGACCCAAATACCTGGAGGATACCTAGCTTGTACCTGGGGTGGTCGTAGAATCTTTGGGCTTGGTTTGTTTGGAGCTTCTCTGGTGTCGATCTTAACTCCAATGATTGGTATATCTATTGGATTCTATGGTTTTGCCATTGCACGATTCTTTTGTGGATTTTTTGAGGTAAAACCAAATATAATGGAATGCTTGCATTTTAATTCTTCAATTTGAAATGACCAAGTTTCAAATATTACTCCTTATTTTTATTTAGGGAGTAACATATCCTGCCATCCATTCCATGTGGAATCACTGGGCGCCACCATTGGAACGCGCGTCTTTAGTCAGCGGTGCTTTTTCTGGTGCATACATGGGAGCGGCTCTGTCAATGGCTCAAAATGTGACTGCTTTGCCGTCAATGTCCTGGCAAGAACTGTTTTATGTGTCTGGTAAAGTCCTGTTTGATACGAATTTTTCCAAAAATGTAAAGATGAAAGAATTTGTGATTTGATTTGATTTTATCTTAACAGGCTGCTACTCTCTCTTGTGGTGCATTGTCTGGTTTGCCTGGGGTGCCGAGGATCCAGAAGAGGATCCGATGATAACAGATCAGGAATTTAATTACCTCATGGAAAATAAAGCTCGACACTGGGAAGATGTAAGTTCATAATGTCCTTAGCCTTTTGCTAAACTACAATTTTTTTCATTTCTTATCTCTTTTCCAGAAACTGAATATTCCATGGCGAAAAATTCTTCTCTCAACTCGCGTTTGGGCCATTAACATTTGCCACTTTGCTGCTAATTGGGGCTTCTATACCATATTGACAGAACTTCCATCATTCATGAGATGTAAGTGAAGTAAAATTAAGGCCGATAGTCAATTTAATAATCTAAATTATGATGTAATAATTGGTCCCTGATTTTAGATGCACTGCACTATGATGTGAAAGAAATGGCTGCAGTGGCCTCTCTTCCTTTCTTGGCAATGGCTCTTTCAGCTGCTTTCGGAGGAATTTTCATTGATAAAACTCTGCTTCGCTTCCTGAGCACAACTTATGTAAGACAGAGAGGAACAGTGTGTTAATTAATCTGAAAACAAGGAAACTGGAGTTTAATTAATTTATGAACAATTTTTACAGACTCGAAAAGTGACGGTGTGCATCACATTCCTTGCACAAATGATGTTCTTTTTCCTAGCTGGGAAAGCCACTGAAAGACATGAATTTGTACTCTGTTTTGTTGGTGCTCTATTCTTTGGTGGATTGTCTTGGGCGGGATTCAGGTAATAGAAATGGTGGAAAGAGATAATAATTTTCTTGTATACACTGTGTTCATTGGCTTTAGCAATAACTTATTCTTTTTACAGTGCTAATCACCTGGACATTGCACCTGACTATGCCAGTGTTCTACTTGGAATTTCCAACACCTTTGGAACCATCCCTGGTATTGTTAGCCCTCTCTTAACAAGCTACATTGTTGATCAAAAGGTAACAAACATTAAACTGTGAATGTGAATCCATTTTCACATGGACCGTTAGTTCCATTCAACTAGGAAAACTTTGCTCTAATCATCTGTCTTACCCTGGTTTTAGGACGACCCAGCATCTTGGTCTGTGGTGTTTCTTATATCTGGATATATCTACGCTGCTGCAGCTTTCTTCTATGTGATGTTTGGTTCTGGTGAAATACAAGATTGGGCGAACAGCGATGAGTCTCAGAAACTTACTTCATCCAGGAAGAAAACTAATAATGATGCGGAGACTGGACCTGAAGTCCATTCTGATTAATAACTTAATCCCACATTTGTGAGGATTGTATTTGAAAATTATTGCTTCTGCTACGCTTTTATTCCCTTCAAATCTCCGGCTCCGAATCTCTATCTCCCTATTATAAGTAGATTTTAGTGATATCCAAGAGAAAACCTTGAATGTTCTTGTGAATTATATTTGGTGATGGTGTTCCATGGAAATGCTATCAGAGCCATGTATGCTTTTCTAGCAGGTGTGTTACGTATTATTTTGCAGGTTGGTTGATTGTATCATAAAAACATTTGAGTGTTAAGGTTTTTTTTCTGCTGTGTTTTTTGTCTTGACTTTTGTGAGTTTTCTTTTGTATGATCTTTCAGAGTTTATTATTGTTAAGTTTAACAGAAAAGCTAATGTGAAGTACTTATATTTTCTAGTCAGCTTAACTTGTGTCTCTCCACACATTGAGCAATCTCATAAGGAATAACATTTGTTAATTTTAATAGGTTCCTTTGTTAATTTTATAATTTTACAATGAGCTGCAAATTATATGTGTAAGGGTTTGTCAATTGGTACGATATAAGTTGGCCATAAAATGTTTTTGAGCTATAACAATATCCATTCTATGGATTTTGTTACCATGCAACATTGTGCAATTATTTGTTTGGTGCCCTTTGACGGCTCAGGCTGATTGATAGTGATTTGATTGTGATGTTCGTCGAAATGATGGAATAATTTAAATGACAAGTGACGTCTGAAGTATGTTTGTGCGAGGCCTCCTTATTTTTAATGACTGAACATAAGACGTTTATTTTTTTATTCTTTTCTCTTTGTTAGAAATAATATTATTTTTAACTTATTGACTGTCCTATTACCTTAAAGTTGCATTTGAGCAAGATGGTAAGCGTGCCAAACTCCATAAATTTTCCTTTTCATAAGCTTGGAGCTTTTTTGTCATTCTAACTTTTGAAAATTCTTTGTAACTTGAGGCATTTAGTTCTTGGAAAGTGAAAGGCCTTCCGGGTGCCTAATTTGTTTTGAATATTCTAATAATGTAGTATGAAGGGATAAAATGATTTATGAGGTGGGCCTAATAGTGCGTATTTGTTGTAAATCATGATTGACTTTTTTCATATCAGTATATTCTGTCCTCTTACCAGCCCCGCTACATCTCTATTATGGCTGCACTGTGATCTATTGATCAGTATTCTTATATATTCTAGAATAGAAACAAGACGCCTTGTCGTTTGTCCACAATATGTGTGCTATGCAAATAAAAATAAAGATGGGCCTTGTGCATGATATTCGCGCCTTTGTCTTTCCTTCCTGCGACCTTTTCTCCTCGGCCATGAATGGCTTTGCCGATTTGTCCACGGAAGCCAGTCCGCCCCAGGCGGGGCGGGACGGGACGGGGTGGGACGCACGGCTCGCCGTGCCTTGCCTTCGTCTGAGTGACCTACTTGGTGTTGGCGAGGCAGCAACGCTGGCCGTAGCTTGGCCATCGGCCAATAGACAGCTCGATCAGTTGAACCAGTCACCGAGGCGTACCGAGACACGATCTTCACTGTCAAAAATAAAGAACCGCGCTGCGGGGGGGGGTTTTCCTCGCGGCCAGAGAAGCGCCGTCGGGGCTGTGAATGGTCAGGGGGTGTCTCTCACCGACGGGCGTGTCGGGCACGTCGGGCATACGCAGGGACTTCCCCTTTCCCCCCTCCCCTCATTAAGCGGCGGCCTTCTTTTCTCGTTGCCCGATCCCGATCGGTAGCACACCGATCAACAGTTTTATTGTGGCTCCCTATATTTAGATAAGGCAGCCCGCGTGCGAGTCGAGTGGGCCCGGTGGCGGCCGATGCATCAGCCGTCGACGCGACGCGACGCGACGCCCGTTCGGCCAGGCTTCGGCTCGTGTCGTGACGACTTCGTGCGACGCCGTCGCCGTCGTGGCACGGCGGTCGCTTCCTCGCCGCGACTGACGCCGTTTCCGGTTCCGGCGCCTCGGGCCCGGCCGACTTCCGGTCGACTTCCGGTCCTGGGGGAGCGTGTCCCCTGTCCTTGGAAGGGGGCTGCATTAGGCATCGCCCTTTCCGGTCCGGAGGCAGCCAGCCAACAAGTGGCCAGTGGCCTACAGCAAAGCGACCGAGTTCCTCCGTTGGCGCGCTACGCTACGTTATAGCTGCGGCACGTCGCCTTTGTCTTGACTACTGGGAGTCTGCACGTGCCGCCGGGCGCTGGGCGCGGGGGTTGCAGCGCGAGACTGGCCCGCAGACTGATTCCGCAGGGTCTCTATCTCTGTCGCACTCAAGGGGCGTGACGGGCAGGGCGACGGAAGACGCTTCGGACTCGCCCAGCTGCCCGGCCGGACTGGCCCTGATCTCCGCGTGAGGCTGAGAGGCCCGCGGCGAGGTGCTCAAAATGATTGGCAGGGGAATGCGCCCATGCGGTGGGTGGGCGACTGGGACGGGGCGGCGTGGACGGACTACGCGTCGCGACTGTCGCGAACGCCAGCCACAAACCTTTGTCTTTCCGGTCCTCCCATCGTGGATGGAGATGTGTGGCAAATTGTCCAACAGGAGCGAGCCGGGGTAGGGAGGCAACCCCAACCGCTCCTGGTTCCTGGTCACTCGGCTGCCGCGTCCACTGCAACAGGTTGCAGGCCGGGCTGCGTCGGACGTGCCCTTGTTTCGGCAACGGTGTGGTGAGGGGAACTGGTAAAGTCGGCAATTTGTGAATCTCTCTCCCTCCAGCCAAGGAGAGTGTCCTGGTTGCATGGCCGCGCTCGCTCGCCGAGGGCGCCGAGGCGCGAGGCAGTAGGACGCCCAGGAGCATCCTCCCTCGAACGCCCTGACGGGGGGCGCGGCGGGGCGCGCGGGGGGCGCGGGGGCACTGCAAATGTCAGGGAAGAGACTCGTGCCGGGCCGGGGGACCACGGGGACTGGGAGCCTCGGGGACGCCGAGCTGGCCGAGCTGGCCGAGCTGGTCAGTGTGCACCCCAACACCGGCGCGGACCGGCCGCTCACTTCCACCCGCTCTCTGGTGCGTCTGCGTGCGTGCGTGCATGCGTGTGTGCGAGTGACGCGATGTCGTGCCGTGTTTCCGAGGAGCCTCCTCCTGGCCGCCCGGCTCTCGAGGTCCCCGTCGGACTCCACGGGCTCCAAGGTCCATGCCCGTGGTCCATGCAGCGTGCCGCAGCGTGACGCGACGTCGGGAATGGTGTAGCAACATGGATACGGCGGACGCGGGCGGACTCCTCCGCCAGCCGGCCTGCAGCAGCGCGGCAGCGCGTCGAGGAGGGGCTGTTCACGCTGCTCGCGTGGCTGCACGCGTGACGCCGCCCTCTTGTCGGAGAGTTACAGTGTTACGTGCAACCCCTCCCCCGCCGCATTCCACCCCTCCTCCCCCCGCGCGCGGCGAAGTGCCGTTAGCTGTCACATCGCGCCCCGGGCTTGCCCAATTCCTCGTGGCAACATCAGTGCTGATCGCGTTGCGCTCGGCGAAGCAGTCGAAGGTGAAGGCGTTGGCGGCCAGGTCAGGCGCAGCCCCGCGGATCGCCGCGCTCCCTGGAGGACGCCGAGGTGGCCGAGGAGGTCGAGCTCGTCGCCGAGGAGGCTCTCGTCCAGCGGCGCGCCATGACGGCCATGACGCGCGGTGGTGGGGGCGGCCGCACGGGCTGCTCGGGCCGCACGGCCCGCACCGACGTGTCTGGCATGTGGATGGCGACCAACATCACCCAGATGCCTTGACACTTCCGTACACTCTTGCGACCGGCTTGCACCTTAGCGACCCCCGTCCCCGCCCCGCCCCCACCGCGCTGAGTGGCGCCAACGCCGCACCACCGCCAGTCCGCCCGCCCCGCCCAGTCCGCCCCGCCCCGCCTCGTCCGTGGCCTCCCCGTCTAGTCCGCGAGCAAGCCCGCCCAGCCCAACCCCTCCTCACGCGGCCACGGTATGCAATGCACTACGAAGTTGACACCACCCGCCCCGCCGTGCCCCGCCGTGCCCCGCCGCCGATGACTCACAGGCCTGTCATCTAACCAGACGAGCAGCGTCTTGTTCGATGTGCGCCCTGCGGCCGCGGACACGCCCCCGACGACGACGAGGACGACGACGGCGGTCCGGTCGCGACGACGCCCCCGCGTGGCCTTGACCCCACTCCCCGCCGCGAGTGTGTCGCGTGTGTTCGGCCCGTCCGAGGCCAGCTAGTGTAATCGCCAGTGATTTCTCCGCGTTCGGCGCCGCAGCCATGGAGATGGACATGCACTTCGACTACCTCTGGAGCCGGGTGGAGCGCGTCATCGTCATCGCCGTGCAGAAGGCCGTGTGCTTCGTGCTCTGGGCCGTCGTCGTGTAGCCCAGCGGGCAATATGGGGGAGGAGAAAGGGGGGGGGGTAAATTACATTCCAGGTTGAAGGGGGTAGAATTAATATTTTAATTGGAAGGGTGGTTTGTGTGTGTGTGTGTGGGGGGGGGGGTTTGAGATCGGGGTGATTATCGGTAATAGCCAGGGAAAGGAAGGAGGGAGGGGGCAAACGGGCTATGACTAGGGCGAAAGTAGATACTTTTTACGGCCACAGCGTTAGTAAATAAAAACACGTAGCCGAAACGTTCGACCGAGCGAAGCATATCTAATTTCATTTGGTCAAGATATGAACGAACAATTTTCCTTGAACGCTTGGGCCGACGACGCAGGACGACGCGGGCGCTAGATTGACAAGATTGGCCAGAATGGCCGGAATAGCTGGTTTGCATGATGAGGATGACGAAGCGGTTAACAGTGTGCCGACGAGGTAAGGCTTTACAGCGAGTTGATTTGTCGACCGTTCCCCTGTCCTGCACTGTGAACTGAAGTGTGCACTGAGTACACGCCGGAGAGCACTGACGTGTGTACCGAGTAAACTGTGTACCGAGTAAACAGTGTACCGAGTAAACACTTTGAGTGCTGTGTACCGAGTGCACACCTCAGCTTACAGTGTACGCCCAGGCGCGCCAAGGCGTTGCCACCGCTCGGCTCACGGCCGCTCCTCCGCTTCGCCCTGCAGGTCCTCGAGGTCCACGGGGAGCTGTGATGCCGGCCTCGCCCTGAGGCTGGCCCTCACGCCGCGCTGTTGATTCGGCGTCCTGCACCAGGGACACCACGGACCACAGGGTGAGTCATGCGATCGATCAGTGTACTGGAAGCTCATGAGTGTACTCAGGACACGCGTGCGTCGAGTACGCACTTCACTTCAAAGCGTGCTTTGTCAAGGATGAATATACTCGAGGTGCTTGTCGTCGGTTTGAAACTGGAACTTGGCGATCGTGGTTGTAACGCCGACTGCGTTCCTCCTTGCAGGCCATGACTGATGGAGGGGGTGGCGACCTCGGGGCTCCAGCGAGTCGGCGGAGCTCCGAGGGACTGGAAGAGGTGCGCATGGTGCGCGCCGACCCGGCGCCCTGGGGCTTCCGGCTGATGGGCGGCCGCGACTACAGCCACCAGCTCACCGTCACCAGGGTGAGCACGACGCTCTGTCTCTCTCGCGCCTGCACGGGACGCCCCATGAGTGCGAGAGAGAGTGCTGAAGGCTGACCGCCGTGCTGGGCCCGCAGGTGCTGGGATGCAGCATCGCCGAGCACGCGGGCCTCAAGGTGGGCGACGTGCTCCTCAGCGTCAACGGCGCGTCCGTCCGCAGCGCCACGCACATGGAGGCGCAGGAGGCTCTGCGGGCCGCGGGGGACTCGCTCTCGCTCGGCGTCCTCAGGTACAGTACGCGGCCTTCGCCTTTCAAGTTAACATTTTCCCCGGTGCTCTCGGCCTGGAGCGCCTGCGAACCCGAGGATGGGCCGCCCCGCCACGCAGGCGTGTCGGCGTGTTGCCTACCCCCGCGTCCGCGGGCGCTCCCGCTGGATACCCCGCCCGCTCGTCACGTCGTCGGCGTGATGGTTGCGTTGCGTTTCAGGGGCACGCTGGACATGCCGCCGCCCTTGGAGGTGGACAAGGAGATCCCGCTCATCCAGGTAAGCGCCGAGACTTGAAATCCTGAGTCACTGCTGATGTGACACTACTTCTCGTCCTTCTTGTTGTCGCCGGCACAGCCTCCACTGGCGCACGAGCCGGGGCCGCTGCCGGATGGCGTGGAGGCCTCCGAGGCCACGCCCGACGGGGAAGTCCCGGACACAGGCGCCGCTGACGGCGAGCAGGGCACCGCGGCGGAGCAGGCCGACGAACTGGAGGCCGCCGCCGAGGACACGCCAGCCGACGCACCACCGCAAGAAGAAAATGCCGAAGAGGCCGAGGAGGACGTCGAGGACGAGGACGAGGGAGAGGAAGAGGAGGAAGAAGAGGAGGAGGAGGAAGACGAGGAGGAGAGGAAGGCCAGGCTCAACAAGATGGACGGGCTTCGGACGCGCATGTCCAAGTCCCCCGGCCCCGAGGACATCATCCGGATGCAGGAGAAGGCCCTGGCGCGCATGGAGCGAGCCCGTGCGCGGAAGGACCGGCCGCCCACCGTGTTCCTGCTGCCGCCCGACCGGCCCGTCATCCGGCAGCCCCGCGCGCCGCGCGTCCGCCCGCCAGACCCGCCCTTCAAGAAGCTCGTCCAGGAGCGCATCCGGCGCCGCAAGTGGGCGGAGGACCACCCCGGCGAGGTAGCCGTCGTCTGATTTAACCAAATTTCTTTAAATTTATAAACTGAAAACAATTTTAGCTAAATCAACTTTATTTCTGCCTGTCTAGGAGTACCCATTCGCGGAGGAGCTGGGCCGCACGCCGACGCCCGACTCGGAGCTCACGACGCGCGCCACCATGACGCCCACGCCCACCTTCTCGGACGTGATCAGCGTGGAGCTGCTCGACGACGCGAGCGAGTTCCTGGACGGCGACGCGGTCCTGGAGACCGACGCCGCCGACGAGGACGGCGCCAGCGTCGGCGGCCGCAGCTCGGCGCTGCGAGAGGACGGCACGGCGTCGCGGGCGTCGCGGGCGTCACGCAACACCCAGGATGACGTTAAGGACGACCTGCAGGAGGAGGAGGAGCCGGAGGTCAGTGCGAGTCATGTCCAAGGCCGCGAAAACGCGCCTGAACTCACATGTCTCTGATCGAAGCCGTCGAGGGCTGGGGAAGTCTTTTGGCTCTGTCGTAACCGGAACTCTCCAGGTGCTGACGTCACTGTCCGTGCAAGAAACGGAGCGGCGCGTCGAGGAAGTGACGGCCCAGCTGGACGCACTGCACAACCTGCCGCGCGCGCTGCGGCCCAGCGTGGAGCACATCAAGGAGGAGCTGCAGCAGGTCGTCGCCTCGCTGCTGCAACAGGTGCAGCGCCGCCCCGCCCGGACCCTGGCCGCCCCGCCGAACAAACGAGTGCTTTGCCTTCTCCCCTGCGAGCGACGTGTTGTGTGATTCGTCCTGTCTTTCCAGCCCTTTGAACTCTCTTGCTTTCCCCAGCCGCTTCCGCCTACTGACCCACTTCTAGAAGAGCGGTCATTTCTTCTGCCCACACTGTGCACTAAAGTAGAGTGTTCCCAGTAGGAACCGAACCTGTGTCCACCTCAGTTTACAGCGCATGCCCACCCTGCTATCTTCGCGTGCTTTTCCTCCGGTCCTGTTTCCACCCCACCCCGCCCGAACGGTCCCCAGTAATGTGACGGCTTTGCGTGTCGGCCTGTCGGTGCAGCTGGAGGACCTCCGTCGCCAGGAGGAGGAGGCGCGGCAGGCCGAGGCGGCGCGCGTGGCGGCGGAGCAGGAGGCGGCGGCGCGTGCGGAGCGGGAGCGGCTGGAGGCGGAGCGCGCCGAGAGGGAGCGCCTGGAACGCCTGCAGGAGGCGCGGCGCCTAGAGGAGGCCAGGGCCGCCAGGCCCGCCTTCAAGACCGACGTCCCCGACTTCATCCACGAGATGGTAAGGCAACGGCCAACGGCCCACGCCGCCCAGGCTTAACTCCCCGGGGCGCTTTCAGTCTAGCGCAGTGGTTCTCAACCTTAGGGTCGCGACCCCAAGTGGGGTCGCGAAAAAATTTTAAGGGGTCGCGGCGAGGTAGCTGGGGTCGTGTTTTGGGCCGATTTTAAGCATCCACTGCGTCTGATCCGAGGCGGGCATTTTGCTCCCTCAACGGGCAATTGGTCTTTGGACCTTCCTTTAGCATGCCTCTGTTACGGAGTGCGATTATCAGTCTTAGTTTGGGAGCAGTATTGTCTCAAAGTTGGCCAAAACGCTCAGAAATGTCTTTAAAAATCATGTTTTGGGTCGATTTTAAGCAGCCACTGCGTCTGATCCGAGGCGGGCATTTTGCTCCCTCAACGGGCAATTGGTCTTTGGACCTTCTTTTAGCATGCCTTTGTTACGGAGTGCGATTATCAGTCTTAGTTTGGGAGCAGTATTGTCTCAAAGTTGGCCAAAACGCTCAGAAATGTCTTTAAAAAATCATGTTTTGGGTCGATTTTAAGCAGCCACTGCGTCTGATCCGAGGCGGGCATTTTGCTCCCTCAACGGGCAATTGGTCTTTGGACCTTCTTTTAGCATGCCTTTGTTACGGAGTGTGATTATCAGTCTTAGTTTGGGAGCAGTATTGTCTCAAAGTTGGCCGAAACGCTCAGAAATGTCTTTGAAAAATCGTTGTGCCTGTTTTGGTCAACTTTGAGACAATACTGCTCCCAAACTAAGACTGATAATCGCATTCCGTAACAGAGGCATGCTAAAGGAAGGTCCAAGGAACAATTGCCCGTTGAGGGAGCAAAATGCCCGCCTTGAATCAGACGCAGTGGCTGCTTAAAATCGACCCAAAACATGATTTTTTAAAGACATTTCTGAGCGTTTTGGCCAACTTTGAGACAATACTGCTCCCAAACTAAGACTGATAATCGCACTCCGTAACAGAGGCATGCTAAAGGAAGGTCCAAAGACCAATTGCCCGTTGAGGGAGCAAAATGCCCGCCTCGGATCAGACGCAGTGGCTGCTTAAAATCGACCCAAAACATGATTTTTTAAAGACATTTCTGAGCGTTTTGGCCAACTTTGAGACAATACTGCTCCCAAACTAAGACTGATAATCGCACTCCGTAACAGAGGCATGCTAAAGGAAGGTCCAAAGACCAATTGCCCGTTGAGGGAGCAAAATGCCCGCCTCGGATCAGACGCAGTGGCATGCTAAAGGAGGGGTCCCGTGGGGTCGCGAAACTTTTCCTGGGGGTCGCGGAAATTTTTGGCTACAAATTTGGGGTCGCGAGCCGAGAAAGGTTGAGAACCGCTGGTCTAGCGGCTCCTCTGCCCGCACTCGTCCCCATGTCTCGTAACTCGGCGCGTGTTCCCGGCACGGCTGCGACTACCGTTTGCAGGTGGTATTGGGCGTGGTGCTGCTGGCCGCGTGGTGGGGCGTGGGGCGGCAGCCACGCTAGGAGCTACGAGGCGGGGCGTAGCCGGGTGTAGCTACCCACGTACGTTGTATGGTCGGTGTCTCAAGTGACTAAACCCGCCACGCTGCGGCTTAACACTGTCTTTAACAAGGCCGGTTTAACGCGTGTCGTGTCTGTGGCGGTCGGTGTGTGCGGTAGGACTGTGCCGCGGAGTGCCGCGAGCTGACCCTGAAGGCCCCGTCGTGTGTTGCAGACTGAGAAGCTGAGCCTGGAGAGGCCCAGCTTCCCGCTCACCCCGCTACCGCGCCCCATCGTGCTGCCCGGCGGCCGCAAGTGGCGGACCGTGGCGGACGCCTTCAACGAGGACTTCATCGCCGAGACGCTCACCTCCCAGGCCGAGGTGCTGCTCGGCAAGGCCCTGGGGTGAGTGAGAGCACTTGAGCGCGCGGCCGCCGAGGCCTGCCGTCCCGCCCCGCATGCCAGTTGCCGCGTTGCCGGCTGCCAGAGTCGAATCGCCGCCAGGGTCAGTGTGGCTAGAGACCAACCAGGCCGACCAGGCCAACCAGGCACCAAAACAAGGACCACAAGTCGATCATCTCGAAAGCTGCAGCCGAAGCACGCATCGCATGGACAAAGCTCGGCTTCGATGGCTTCGACGACCGGCAGCGGCGGGCCTTCGCGCCCTGGCTTCCCCCTTGAGCCTCTTTATTTTTCCTTTTTTCTTCTTTTCTTCTTCTCCACACTGACCCTCGCTTGCTCCGCCCGCTCGCGCCTCGCGTTGCGTAATGCTTGCAGCAACCGGCGGCTTAGCAACACATTCCCGGCGCTAATCCACGAGCGGGCCGAGATCAATGAGAGTTGTTACGGATGCGGCAGGATCAACTTCCTCAAGTACAGCCACAAGCACGACAACCTCAAGAACTCGGCGGTCTACCGGATGGTGCACGGCCTGGACGACAAGCCCGCCCTCCCCATCGCGGACCGCCCGGAGAAGATGCAGGCCGTCAACGACTACTACGAGGCCGCCGCCAGGGTGAGCTAGAGGCGCTGCCGGCCAAGAGCCCGCCTAGACTATCCCCCCCTACTCAGATCAGTTGTTGTGGTCTAGCCTCTCAAGTCAAGTCAAGTCATTCCCCCCAGACTCTCCATCAAGTTCGATGTGTTGCCTACCCAACAGGGGCCAAAGTCCCATTCCCTAAACAGCTTTCAGGCGTCTGGTCCAAATCGGCGATCCGCTTTTGATTTTTTGGTGCACCCTGGGGGACACTTGAGTAGTGACCGTCCTCTGTTCGCAGCAGTCAGCGGCCCCTTCGCCCGTCAGCGAGCTGGGCCGAGTCACCGCCGCGGTCAAGCCCGGCAACACACTGTCGCCGTGACGGCCGTGACCCAGTACCACCACTACCAGTGCCCAGGCCGGGACATCGGCTCCGAAACACTCCTCACACGCGGCGTTCATTGCCTCCACAAACCGCGCAGCCCAAGAGTGAAAGGGAAGGGAAAGAAGAGCTCTGAAACTAAAATTTCTTTCATAAATATTTCAACTACTAATTTTTTGCCAATATTTTTTGTAGCAAGAAATTTGGTGGTACACAGATTGCATCGATCTGTTTCATGAACTTCAAAAGTTATTTTCCCTGAGCTACTTGATATTTTCACAGATTTTTCAAATGTTTATGTATGAGGCTTATAATTCATTAATCAATTTTTTCACCATTAAAATGCAATAAAGTTATTGTTCCAGGAACCACACACTCTTTCAAAATTAACTCTCTGAAAGGACTATGGTATTAGATTAACCAAGGCACATAAAATTGCAAGGTTTAGTATATTTGACTGAGAGAGACAAGAAAACATAAATAAATTAATGGAGGGAAGAATGTAGGTCTGATTAAGAGTCACAATATTATAATGAATCACACATCAAGTTTGCAAACAACAGTAAGTTCAAGAATGTTTCGGAAATAAAATCCTTCACAGAAATTTTAACAAGTATACCATTAGATCAATATCATTGCTTGCATACTGCCAAATCTTAAAAGTAGTCAACAAAAGGAAATAAATATTGATAAAGTTTATGTCCAATGCAGATGATACCCTGCAATCGAAGTCACTGGGTGAAGATCACATACACAACCAAACATTAATTAAATTCAAATTTGTTTCATGTAAGTACAAACTAAATAACCTTGGCACTTTTTAAAAATTCTCAACTATCAAAAAAATTGATAGAGTAGGAAAGTGGAGAAGATTGGAAACCATAATTTCCATCATCAACTGTCAAAGCCAACAGGAGATATTTGTACAATTTCTTTTGGCCGTAGAAGCCAAATACTAGATACTAGATATTTGCTTCTTCCTAAATGACAGATAATGCAAGTTAGGCTTGAAGAAAGGTAAAACAAAGGCTCAAGGTTAAAAAGAAGACTGGGAGAAGTCAAGTACGAAAATGGTTTGTGCCCTGAGCAGCAGATGTATCCTTAAATTATACCCGACTTATTAGAATAAATGGAAGGAACAAAAAATATGAACAACAGCAATAATTGATTAGGAGAAAATTGGAATACTATGAATCATCAAATGTCATTCTTCCTTCGCCATGAACTTTAAGATATCTCCGGTATGCTTTATGTTTTGCACTCTCTGCCAATTTCACTTTCATTTCTTCTTCTTTCTCTTGATGCCAAGCATCATAATTTTCTTTCAACCATAGTTCCCTGCGAAGAAATTCTTTTTTCTCAGGCTCTTCAATAGCATCAAACTGATACTGACCAAGTTTCATGTTTCGTCTAATAAGATAGAGCTTCTCTGCCTCTCCATAAGGCTCCCTTTTTATATTGAACCTCCAGGTCCAAGAAGCATACCACATCAAATAAGCAACTACAGTGTAAGGTAAAAGTATAAGCTGTATCCAAAGAATATCACTGACTTTTGGCTTAGCATATCCACCTCGAATGTCCATATTTTCTTCAAGAACTTTTCGGATGACACGTTCTGTTTCCTCTTTGATCTCTTGCTTATTTTTTTTCTTGGTTCCTTTCTTTACATTATTATCATCATATGCCCCACGTTCCCTCGCAACATCCAAAGCACGATTACGATACTTAGGTTGCTGCATGAAGTAGTTGATTGCAACTTCATAACGCTGGTTTGCACTATAATACTGTACTGCTGATATGATAGATATTGTTACAATTAAAACAATTCTAACATCAACCTTGGGAGCCACCCTATTCCGATAGTATCGATAATAATGGCGGTAATAGTCTTCAGGATTGTCCAACATGTAATCATAATCAGTTCGACTTTCATCATCTTTGAGAATTTCATATGCAGTAGCAATTTGTTTGAAGCGCACTTCTGCCTCCGCTTTAGCATCAGGAGATCGGTGCATATCTGGGTGGAATTTTCTGGCTAAAGCACGATATTTCTTAGATATTTCTGACTTGGTAGTTTCTTCTCTTGTGACACCAAGGACATCATAGCAGTTTTCTTTTCCACAGTAGATACCTTCTAATAAAGCATCACTCAATGAAATTTGAATGGAAGCTACTATTATGAGAAGTAGTATCCTAAGAAGTCCCAAATTTTTGCTAAAGGCCATTTTTGCACAAAATCTGTCAATCCAATGTTTTTTCAGTCTTAAATTCTTCTTTGAAGCAGCGAGATGAAATGATGCTAATCTGCAACAAACAAATAAACATCTGATAAGAAACAATCTGAAAAGATCTTTTAAACTAAACTCTGTTTAGATAAAGTTACAGTTCCCTGGTTCAATTCTTTTTCATAACAAGCGTAACAGTTTCAGAAAAAAGAAGTGGCCAGGCCACTGAGAGAAAGGGAATGCAATCTAGCTAAGTGGAGCGGAACCTTCACACTTGAGTGGAACAGATGAAAGTGGCAAAAACATTGATTGAAAAAAAAATCCTTTAAAGTAGGAACTATTTCATTCATAATGCAGAAATTGGAGAAAAAGGCAACATAATAAAATGAAATTGGTGAGAAAAATCTCATAAAAACTTCAATATGATAGTTTTCTGTCGGACCAACAGGCGCCACTTGAAGTTGGAAAAGACAGACAAACTCACGCTTTTTAAATTATCGAAACGAAAAAAGTTGGAAAGTCCTTTACACAGACGATAAAACAGATTTAAAATCTCTCTCTGGAAGAAATGTGTCAAAAAAAGTTGGAAAGTGGACCAGCAGCCACATCACAACTTCTAAGTAGTCTTAAGAGGGTACACCTAAACTTGTTTTACGTGAAATCCTAACACAAACCTTGAATGATTCTCATCTCAGATGAAGATTTTAAACAGTTTAAAAGGCACTTCGAGAACCTGCGACGGGCCTCGAAGGGCCAGTTTGACGTCTGCACCGACTTGCATTAACCTCCGAAATGCAGTGCACCCGGCGCGGCGTCTGCTTCGTCGACTGCTGTCGTCTGCGTACACTGCGCATGCGTCACCCCTTCTTTTGTTTCCGAGTGGACGCGCGGGAAGGTTGGATTTGATTGGCGTCAGCAGGGGAGCCTGTAGCCACTGCAGGTATTTTCATGAAAGACCGGGCAGAAAGATCAGAGAGACTCGGTGGGTATCATTGTCTTCACGGGATCGGAGCACATGGTAGGGACAAGCGTAGTGTTTTTTAAAATACCTCGGATGAGTAGGCAAATGAGCTGGCAGCAGGGTAATCTCATGGCAGTAGTGGTGCTCCAGAAAGGATGAATTAAAATTACACAGGTAAACAGGTCAAAACATTCTGTATTTCACAATCTCATATCAAGTGCTCCAATGAGATAAAGGAAATGGCACAATAAAATCATTTCTTAACCTACTATTATCCATAGATTTCATCCTGGTGACATTGAATTAAATGAGTGAAGAACAGATAAAACAGATATAGGAGTATTTACATAAAAATGATTATTGATTTGTCAGATTATTACAATTAGCACAATATGAGATTTAAAATCAGCCTTATTTCCATTGAATGTGTATTCACTGTTAAAGTGAGACTCCACTGAATTAAAATTTACAAACTCAAAAATACTCGGGCAATGGACAAATGTTAAATTAATGAGCTTGTCCATCCATATTTCTGGCCCCAAGGAAAAGATTAATTTTAAGACTCTCATACTACTATCGACAAGGACTTCAACACACAATGGACCACAAACAAAATAGTAAAAACACACAAAAATTATTAGTCTTTGGTATAAGCTCCTTATAGTCATGAGAATGGGATACTTCAGAGATTTTGCAATAAACATTCACATCCTTCTCTGAAACGAGTTCACTTGAATGAATACAACAGTGAGTACATCATTCACACAAACACAACAATCAGATAAAAGATGTTGTACCACACAAAACCTGAGCTTTCATAAAAGCTTCCCATGAAGAAATGAAAAAAAATTTCTGAAAGATGTAATAGAGATGAAAAGAAACAGAGAAAATACACACAAAAAAAAGTCCAATTCAACATTATTTTAACTCATCTTTCACAGGTTCAACTCCTAAACTACCAGGTACAAAATCAGTAGGTGCTAACTACCTTAATTGAGAAGAATCAACAATGCCTTACAGGTTAAAACAGGGACTGTTTAATGAAGCAGTTGCTCACTTTGATGAAATCCAAAAATATCCAAACTTACAAAATAAATAAATAATTTGTTTGCTTTATAAAATGATTTTCTTATAAAAATAACAGAACATTTCACATTCCATGAACACAGGGCAAGGAAACTATATACTACAGTACTGTAATATTTAATTCTCCTTGATTGATTATGAATTTGAGCCTAAATAGTAGTGGTGGGTGTAATTGGTGTTCCAAGCCCAGGGGCCTGTGCTGAGTGTGCTGCTGCCACAGTGGTCGTGCCAGCGGTACCTGCTGCAGCAACCGCAACTCCAATCGCCTGCTGTTGCTGGACTCCTGACGCTCTCACAGTTGATGGAGAAATTATTCTAGCAAACATTTGTGAGCGACCTGCATTGTCCAGATATATATTAGAAGATGACCAAAGAAGGTTAGCTATGAGAAATAATATTATAAAAATAAAAATTTTACCTTTTGTTCCATCAGCTTGAGTTGCCTGTGCTACAGGAATTACTTTAAGTCCTTGTAGTCCCTGGATACCTTGTATGCTTTTCAGGTTAATGGTGCCGCCTTGAAAACCTGGAGGGAGAAGGATTTGCTGCGTCCCACCAGCCTGCTGTAGTACAACAGCATTGGAACCTGCAGCAGCTGTTACTGCTGGTTGACTAGTAGTTCCAGATACTGAACTTGCAGGGCGCAATGGTTGTGAGGCCAAAAGAACAGTTTGCTGACCACCACCAGGCGAAGTCAATATGACATTCTGAAAACAAGAGGGAAATAATAGTTAAAACTAGAATAAGCATGAGCGTGTAAATTTCAATGATCAGTTTAATTGAAAACAGTTTTCTTACCTGCCCCTGTAGACCTTGTTGCTTGCTTGCTAGAAGAACTGGCTTCCCTCCAATATGTGCAATATTTAAACCTGTTCCCCCAACCATACGCAAATTGCCTGATGGTTGAGAAATGGTGGCATTCATAATTCCAGCAGACATCTTACTTGCAGTGACTGCTGTAGTTGTTGAACCACTTGCCGAAAGAGTTAGAGCCTGTAAAAACCAATCTGTGTAACTGCAATCATTCACCATAGCAGCATTCACCACAACAATCATAAAACATCATACCTGAGGTACAATACGTTGTGTATTTATGGAGCTGGCCAGTGATATTATATTTCCTTGGGAAACAACAGCAAATTGGGGGACACTCCCAGTACCTGATCCCGCAATCTGAATGAGTTGATTCGGTTGGCCTGCTTTGCCTACAGCCGGTGCTACCCTCAGTGTTCCTAAAAAAATTTACATTTTTTTTAAGGTGACCGCACAGTTTGATAAGCAGTATTCGAAGTAGATAAAATATTTACCTGCTTTACTTTGAGCCTGAAGTGCCTCCATGGTGATAAGTTGACCATGAGAATTTGTGACAACCTTAGCCACCATGGGAGGTGGGCCTTGCTTTGCACTAGCAGTTGTGACTGTTGAACTTGTTAAAGCAGCAGTTGTAAGAATACCTTGTCCTAATATACTGGTGCCCCGTACACCCTGTCAAATGAAAACAAGAGGTTAAACCAAAGTAATGAGTTTAGATCCCTCAGTATCTTTTTCACATTCCTAACATTATGTTTAAGACTGCCTTTACTGAAGTCATAAAAAATTTTGCTTACCTTGCCTTGTGACTGTAATACTTGCTGAATTTGCTGCCTCTGTTGACTTTGGTCCACAAGTTGTATTTGACTAACAGCAGTAGTGACGGGTTGTTGTTGTAGTTGAAGAGGAGGTGGATTCTGTTGTAGGTGTTGTTGTTGAGCAATCGGTTGCTGTTGCAATTGCTGTTGAGGTTGTTGCTGCTGTTGCTGCTAGAATGAGAAAATAAACTCAATTTTAAAATGTGTTTAGTGCTGAAAAGGGGTCACTTTGATCTGTTTTGATTTACCACACTAACCTGAATTTGCAGTTGCTGTTGTTGTTGCCGCTGTAAAGCAAGCAAACCTGCCTGCTGCTCAGCTGTGAGCTGAGTAAGTACCTGCTTCTGTCCTGCACCAGCTTTCGTTTTCACAACAAACATCTGTTGTGGAAGAATCCCTCCTACAGCATTTACCAACTGCCCCTGACCTCTTGGTTGTTTTAAGACTACAAGTTGAGTTTGAGCTTGCTTCTGTTGAGCAGCTGTTAATTGCTGTTTTACTTGCTGTTGAGACGAACCAGAAACTACTACAATTTGTTGCTGAAGTTGTCCCTGGGCTGCTGCTGGCTGTACCTTTCCGGCCTGCTGCGCCTTCAACTGCTGTTTCAATAACTCTTGAACTTGTCTTTGTCTTAACTGAAGTTGCTGCTGTTGAGCTTCAGATAATTCTTTCACCGATTGCTGCTGCTTCTGTTTCAATAGTAACAGTTGTTGCTGCTTTTGAACCATGGCTGTAAGGGCAGCCTGGTCACCACCAGCTTGCCTGACAAGAACCAAGTTCTGTCTGGGACGAGCAATTGTGGCTCCAGATTCGGATGTCTGGACCGCCATCACAGTGCCACTTTGGTCCACTAGTTGTATATTAGAAAGGCTAAGAGCCCCTGGCTTATCTTTCAGCTGCTGCTGCAAAAGTTGAAGGGTTTGCTGCTGAAGCTGCTGCTTTTGAACAGTAGGTAGGGCGATTTTCTGTTGCTTTTGTTGCTGTAATTGTTCTTGTTGTTTAGAGTCAAGCTCCAAAGCTTGAACACGTTGGTCATGATCTTGATTCTTCGAGGGTTCCTGAGGTTGAATGGCCTGCAGTTGGGGTTGCACTTGTTGCAGTTGTTGAGCTTGCAATTGCTGCTGCAATTGAATTTGCTGCTGTTGCTGTAACTGGAGCTGAAATTGCTGGTGCTGTTGGATTTGCTGCTGCTGAGCAGTTTGTTGCTGAGCAGCCTGGTGTACAGTTTGGGGCTGAATTCCTTGCTGTACAACGCTTTGTTGAGGAACTACCTGTTGCGCAATGACTTGTTGTTGAATAGCTTGTTGGGTCACAGCTTGTTGCTGAACCGCTTGCTGTGCAAGAACCTGCTGAGCAATGACCTGTTGTGGAACAGTTTGTTGTGACACTACTTGTTGAGCAATGGCTTGCTGCTGTCGCTGTTTCATGAGGAGTAACTGTTGCTGCTGCTTCAGCTGTCTCTGAGCATTGGCATCCAGTGTAACAGTTTGAGTGAGCCCTGTCAGTCCTGATGCTTCAGACGGTTTTGCTAATGTTCTCTTGACTTCAACAGTCTTCTTTGGTGAACTCTGCTGTGGCTGAGGTATCACCATGGTTGGTCTCTGCCCTGTACCAGGACTTGTAGCAACGGTTGCCCATTGTACTGTAGAGGAGCTAGTTGTATTACACACTGCTGTGGTATTAGCATTAACAGTTATGGGCGAGGCACTTAGAATAACGGTCCCTTGAGATGATATGACTGTTCCTAAAAAATAAAGAAGAAAAATAAGAGATATTAAAAAAATCATCTGTGGATGGTCTGTAATGAAAGACACAGTAAGATGTTAAGTCTATTGTACCTGCAGTAGACTGTTTGGAAGGAGTGGCAAGCTGCATCTAAAAAGTAAAAGCAAGATAAAAATTTATTCTAAAATTCAAAACATTAAAAAAAAAAAAAAATTGGAAAAACAAAAAACTTACAACTTGTTGCACCCCACTACTGCTTGTCATAACAAGAGATTTGCGGCCTGCAGTGGAAGATATGAGACGGCCTCCCATCAGGATTTGTTGTTGTACTGGTTTACTTCCATCTGCAGTGGCAGATGGAGAGCTCAGCACAGACCTCACATTAGATGCAGATACAGGAGCAATAGTGTCAACACTTTCAACTGCCAAGATTTGCTTCTTTGAAGACTTGCGACCAACTGCAGGACTCGAGGGCAACCGGCCTGATAGAATGGTGCGAGGAGATGGAGAGGGTGTGCTTAAGGTTATAGGGGCAGTAGCACTTGGGGTTGAGACCATAGTCGATGCAGTGGAGGATGTAGTGCTTGGAAGCAATGGAAGCTCCATAGGGGTGTTCCATAATGAGCCACTTGTTAGGGACACGGCAGGTCTAGTGGTAACCTAAATAAATTTAAATACAAAATTGTTATTTTAAACTAAAAACAAAACTTCACACCTCACATATTAATTTTTTTACCCTACCTGAATTGTATGTAAACCAGTTGGCATATTTGTAACTTCAGCTTCAACTTGAGGAACCAGTCTTGGTGCATTTGCAACAGTCGCAACAGCTGCCTTTGTCTAACAACAAAAGACATACAATGAGTTTTGATACAGATACACCCACACGCAAACACCCATGCTATTAAAGGAAGAACTCCCACCTCTGCTTTGTTATCTTTTTCCTTTTTAACTCGGCTACCTGTTTTACGTTGGTTTTTGTATTTGCCCATGCCCTGTTGCTGTTGGTGCATTTGCTCTGAAACATACAATGTGAGAAGTGAGAGCAGTGGCTGAAATTATTTCAAACTAAAATTATCAGGTGAAAGCCATACCATATTCTTCCATGGATCTTGATCGGTGGAGACAAATCCAGATCTTTCGCTTAGGTTCATACTTGACACAGGGATCTGGCTCATAGTGAAGCCTATCAAGAGCCCCACTTACAACTGACTGCACAGTTTGCTCAGTGGCACCAGGTTTCAAGTACTGGGAATCTTTTAAAAGTTCACAAATATCCATCCTAGTTCCTTGACCATTAGGTAAACGAGCAACTGCATCTCGTACTAAGGGTCATCAACAAAAAGTTCAAAAATATTATTATTAAACTTTAGTATGATCAACAAAATATATGTAGCAGTTGGAACATTGACCTCAAATACATAACTCACCAAGAGCTAAAATAGTGACATAATTTGGCCTGTCACTGACAAGCAGGGAATGACCTCTTGGTTTGACATTGCCAGACCCAGTAGAATAGACTCCTCGTAAAGGTCCAACAACACTGTCATACCCATGCATTTTATATGTAAATGCTCGTAGCGGGTTGGCAAATCTTTCTAATTCCTAAAAAGTTCACAACTGTGTTAAAAACCATGAGCTACTCATACTGATTGATATATTTTTTAAACCCAATAAGTACCTGAGAGCGGAATTCTAGTTTCTCCTCCAGGGTGGTGGGTACAACTATCCAGTCTGTTGGATTGCAGGATGGAAGTGGACTCTCAACTCTATCAGAAAAGTCATTTGAAGGATCTACAGGCAAAGTAGCTCCCATTTCATCATCATCAACATAAATGTTATCCAAGTCTCGTTCAGAATTAAATTGATCTTGTCTTTTCTTGTTTTCCCGTGATTGCATTTCTGCTGCTTCATCACGTCTTTCTAACCAATAAGTACAAAGAGGCATGAGGAGGTTATCTGAATCCCTTCCAGCTCCAATCCATTGATACTTTCTTAATGCTGGCTTATATTCCAGATAGGGTACAAATTCATCAGGGTGCATATCTGAAAATAGCATGAAAATTAGTGTTAATCTTGAAGAAATTTTACAGTAAAGCAGTCTTTCAAAGAACTCACCAGGAAGCTGCCCAGACAAAAAGGTAAGAGCAGATGTCAAAGATGCGACCCAACCTCCTGAATTAGCAGCTAGAGGGTACCAGTCATTCAGAGGAGAGATAGGGCTCTCTTGCCACTTGCGCAGTCCAGCTTGGAGGTTACTCAAGCTCATGGACTGTTCCCGAGCCGTGCAAATTAGATCTCTCAAAAGAGAAAAGAAACACAGATGAGTGTCTTGCATGAGTGAAGGTGTAGGGCTGCAAAATGGTAAATAACCTTGGTTAGTTGGTAATTACGAATCAATGTAGAAAGAATTTTAAATGGCAAATGCTTTGAATGTACTCACGGTGCATACTCAATGTTCAGTTCCCCTTCAGGTTCCTCTATGTCAATAGGCAATGACATCATATCAATGTTGGACAAATCTTGAAGGAGAGAGGAATTCTGTGCAGTAGGAAAGGAAGTGGTTGTTTGAACAACTTTAACACCCACATCTTCTTCCTTCAACTGATCTTGAAGTAGCAGCTTTGGTGTTTGGATTGATTGTGTGGGCGGCTCTTTCACAGTTTGTAGTGATTTGGTATCAGTGAGAGATGGTGTTGTGCCTGAAACAAATGAAGGCAATGAGCAATGTAAAATACAATCATCCCAAAAAAAAATTCAAAAAAATCAAGGGCACTGATTTACCAGTATTGAGAATGTTGTCAACAGCATTTTCAAGCTCTCCTTTGAGAATACGGCGACTTGTAGGCAGTCCTGATAAATTATTTGGCTTTCCTGGACGGGCCACGCTACACAAAGCAAGAAAGTATGCAGGTGCAATTTTCATAACATTTCTCAAGCAAGAACAAGTCTGTACACAATGACAAATGACTTACACATTCTTCTTCTTCGGTTTCCCAGTAGAAGCACGTGGGCTGGAGACTATTGCTAACTTATCTGCATCATTGCCTATGAACTTATCCCATTCCTCTTGTTCTTTATCTTTGATAACAACCTTTTCTTTCTCTCTTTCTTTCTCCAAGTCTCTTTCCTTTCCACGCTCCTTGCTTTCATTCTCTTTATCCTTTTCAACCAGCTTCTTGTCTCGTACCTTCTGTAGTTTATCAGTGTCTTCAGTAAGGCGGGTGACAGATATAACATCATCATCATCTGATTCTGCCATATCTGAACTATCAGCCATCTGCTGTATTATATACATTAATTGATTAGAAAAAACAAAAAGTGACTGAGAAAACAATAAAGAAAGAGTTTGAAAAACGTACCACGATAGGCCCTGGACTTGGGACTGCAGATTCCTGCTGCACTTTACTGTTTCTTCGCTTTTGAACCTGTTTTGAGTGCTGCTTGCCCAGGGTAAGGGGAGATTCAAATTTCATAATGCCACTGGGTAAACCTTTTTTTGACATGATGCGATTTGCTCTATCCACAACATCATGCAAACTTCTTCCTAGGCAGTTTAATTCAGGATGGACCTAAACAAACAAAAAATTAAGGTCAAGTTCTTTAAATTTTAAGAACAAAGTAAAGTGGAAGTAAGTATCTTACATCTCCAGCTAATCTTCGCTTCTTGTGACGAACAAGCATATTACGGTATGCATCATCAGAAATTTCATACGGATTATTTGATGCAGTAACATTGGCCGCCAAGTCCAAGCCAGCAGGCTTAGCAGCTAATGTAGACACGACTCTTCTCATTTCAGGACACAAAGATGTTTCTAGTACAGATAGCCTACGTTTTAGCTTTTTATTCATTTGAGCTGGTGGGCCCTCTGTGAAAAACATTCAGACAGTGATTTCAATGACATGTTGGAATGCACAAGTAGGAAATTATTATTATTATTTTAAGTTATAAGTGATACCTGGGTAGTTTTCATCATCAGAACTATGGCCGGATTCACCAACTTCTTGTCTAACAGCACGCAGCTCCTGGAAATACCTTCGCCTTGTACGAAATTCCCTTGTAGATAGATGTTGTGTGCGTGGGGGGGCCGGTAATTTGGGAACTTTGGGATTAACTCCAGGGGGTAGAATATTTGCAGCTTGAAGAAGTTTTTGTCTTGATACCAACACTGACTTCATAACACGAAAATAATAGCGCTTTTGGCTGTAACTAAAATATGCATAATTTTATTATTGAAACTAAAAAACTCTAAATACAGTTAATATTGAAGATTACACTAATTTTACTCACTTATATTCTCTACTGAGTGCCTTCTTCAACAAGCATCTCATTCGGGCAATATCAGGTCTGTAATAACCATTTTTCAAATTCCGATGGAAATCTTTGAGAGGGTTTCCAAACCTCATGTTTTCCCCACTGAAAAGCAGTTGCAGAGAGGCTTCTTGCTCCGCATCATTGTTTGATGTAAAAGTTGGAAGAAATTTCTGAAAAAGTAAGAAATGGAATGTAGTGAAGATGATAATAAACATGAAGACAATGGTGCTGGTTCTGGGTAGAAACATTCAGAAACCTTCAGATGCTCCCTATTGGCTGAAGATAAATTCTTCCATGTTTCATGAGATAAAAGTTGTTGAAATACATCTTCTTGCTCACAGAGACCTTGAGGAAGTTGTAAAACTGTGCCATTGACCTGCAACAATAGCAATAATATAAATAATATGTAAGTGAGCTTATACAATACATGCAAAACTCAAGCTTTAAAAACAGTACCTTGCAGTCTTCAAGTTTAGTGAGGGGATCCAGCGATTCCTCAGATGAGGAGGATGAATTGTCGGAGCCACCCAGCGATGAATCTTCTTGCGAGGAAGCAGCTGAGGAGTCCGTTGATGAATCATATTCATTGCTGGATGAATCATCCATTCCATCCTCCATCTTCTCCAACAAAAATTATTTAAATCTCCCCTAATGTAAAGAAATTGTCCTGTAACATTACATACCAAGGTAAGCCAAAGAATTTGCAGTTGTGTTCTGACCAATTGAAAACGTATGATCTTCACATCATTGAAAACTAGAGCAAGTCGAAATTAAGGTAAGCAACTAGATCTTTAATTAATTGGTGGAATTGGAAAAAAATAAAGGAAAGGTTACAACATTGAAAGCAGACAAACAGTCAACATAACCTATATTTTGGTTCACAAATAGAAACTATACAGCAATCGGCATGACGCTGTCTGACAAATGGAAAAATTAAATTCATTCGTTTAAAATACCCAAAAAGTGAAGAACATTTAAACCACTACATGTTTTAGAAGGTCAACAATCATTCAACAAGAAACCCAAAGAGGTTGTTTGTTTTCACTTCCACAAAGATAAACACTGAAAAACAATTGAGTAAGTTATGCACGGGAAACAACAGATTTTTTCAAAATAAACTTACTGCTAATCTATAAGACATAGATTAAGGAAAAAGATGAACATGCTTCACTTTAAATCATTACAATTTAAAGTTATTCGGTTTTTTAAGAAGCAAGTGAACTTCAAATATGAAAAACTTCACGAACACTACTATGCGTTGCCATCAATTTGTCATATCCCACCATTTTCGATTCTTTGGAGGAGTGGGGGGGGGGGGTAATTTGTCGTCTGCGTCTGCAGTCGACTGTTCAGTTTCTGTGCTGAAAAATATGTAAACACATTTCTTCAGTGTGCAATTTTCTTTAATTTTTAACACAATGGCCGAAACAGAACCAGATTTACAACATGATTCTCCATCTCCTCCATCATCGCCAGATTCAGTAGCAGCTGAGGTCGAAGAGGAAGAAGATCCGGTTCGTATTCGTGATGAATCAATAGTGATAAGGTTGGGTTGGTTTCTAAACTTCTTGGCAATTTTGGATGCTCGAGAGTTTTAGACATCAGGATTTTCGTGTTTTGTTGATTCATTAAACTATCCACCTGCACATCCATAGTGTCAATGAGACACCTCAAGGATAATGTTTTTTGTTATGAGCATTTTAACCTGTTTTTAAAAAAATCTTCTGTTAGCTCTTTCCCACTTGTCATCTTCAGGCAATATCTAGAAATTACTCAGGTACTAATTTTTTAATATTTTTCAGGGTATTGATCAAGCTGACCTTGAAAGAATTTACAAAAATCTTCAAGGACCTTTGCTATGGGGTTTGCCCGAGTTCAATGAAACTAAAATGTCTCGCCACATTTATAGAATAAGGGACTTACTGCTTGTGCCTCATAGTACCTGGGGTGCTGTTGTTCTTCGTTTCACCTTATGCTGGTTATATTTTAAGGTGAGAATCCACTCATGTTTGTTTTTCTGTCTTAGTCTGTTTCATATACAATTCTTTTTCACTTTTCTTCCTCTCAGCATGGCGAAGTAGATCAAAGCAGGGCACAACTTTCAGAAATTGATGCCCTAGTACAGACTGTGGAGTGGAGTGGAGAAGATGGCGCATTGCTACGTCGTTGCTTAGATGGAGTGGAACACGTCCTTCAAACTACTTGGGTTCATCTTGCCCATAGAAATGTGCCATTACGAGACATGTGGTTTGAGTTGGCTCAAATCACTCCTTTCAAAGACTTGAGCCCTCAACAGCAAGCGGCAGTGTGGGGCCTTCAGGCTTCCTGTCGCTACTGCTTTTTTGGTAAGACTGACATCTCATTTTGAACCTTTAAGAAAGAAAAGAAGTTTATACTTAGTTTTATTAACTTTGATAATGTTTTTCTAATTTCTTCTCACTTTAACAGAGTGGGTTGGCTTTAGGTTGAAAGCTGCTGCGATAAGAGCCCAAGAACTTTATCCTCGGGAGCCCGAATGGCAAAGGGTGTATGGCGACCAGCCTGCAAGTGTAGTAGGGGATGCCTTCACTCCACATATTGCCATCTATGGTGCAACCTGGCATCTTCAAAAGAAAAGGCCTGAGCCGGCCCGAGAGCTCCTCAGGTAAGATTTGTCCGTTGTCGTTTACCTTTATGGGTGGCAATAAGTTACCTTTCTTAAAAATTTGAATGTTTTTTTTGTTCATGTTCTAGGCGAGCACTTACAGCTTGGCCAGAAAATGCCTTTGTTCAGCTGAATGCAGCTGTTATGTTTGCTAGGGAGAAAAGCTCTATACGTGATGAAGAGATGGCTGAGAAATGCTCTGCTGCAGCAGTTCGGATTGCACCAGATTGTGTGATAGCAAATGTTGTGAGAAGAATGGTTATACCATCCCACCATGCCCCTTGCCTTGCTTTGTGCGAAACTACTTATGGCAAAAATGTCCTGGCTCTTCTGCCTTTGTAAGTGTTGACCTGAAATAGATCCAGCTAAGTTTGCAAATTTTATTTTTTGGGATTTAAGGTTTTACTATTTTTTCCCTTCTTCTTTATTCTAGTATGAGCACTGGCACATTTTCTTTAGAGGTAATCATGAGAGGGTGCGTATTACGTCTTTTTGACGCTATAATTATTGTATTGATCCTTGATACAGTATGACTCAGAAAGTGGACGTTGTATGTGCTACAATGTGAATTTTTTTTTCAGGTTCTTCATGCGATGATTTTTGCATTTGTTTATGTCCATACTTAAACATATTGCACTCATAACTCTGAAGATGCTGAATCAACTGGTGTTTATAAGAAGCAAATACGTTTTCAGCTCTGTCTCAAGCAATAAACTTCATTATTCTAGTAACATAGGTTATTTCTTTTGAGTTTTTTAGACCAAAGTGAGTCTGGACAAAGTTAGTATGGTCATTTTTAGATGAGAAATCAGGATATAGAGTTTCATTTCTTTAGCTTTATTGTACTATTTGACTCAGGAAATTCATGATTGTGATGTGCTTCTAATGAAATTATGAGTAGGGTTTACACTGAGACATATATGGGAAGTTGCCTTTCAATCTTCATCACGTTTTCAATGCATTTTCATGATAATTAATTCCCGAGGTATTGCCATTCAACCAAAAAGTGGCAAGCTAATATCTGGTGCCAAACTGAATTTCCAAATGGCTTTAGAGGAATTTTTGTGTTTCTGTCAAAGGAAGAATTCCATTTAAGCTCAGCTATTGAGTCCATGTATCAGCTGGTAATTGGGTGTTGCAGCATCAAGTCTGATGCATTGCTATACAGCTGTGTTGGAATGGAACCCTCTTTCTTCTTATTATTTTATTTTTTGCCCACATAATGTGAGGTTTTTAGTAACAGGTTTTCAAATTGATATTTATGTAACTTTCACCTCATTGTGATATGTAACATAATTTTTATGATAATCAATATTTCCAGCTTCTCTTTCAAATTTTTTATGCCATGCCTAAATATTTTATCCTTGTGACACAGAAATTTTGAGATTTTCTTGTATGTTGCATTGTTCTTCATTTCACAGAAGTCAATGCGGCACAGATTGATGCATAAAGTACTGGAGTGAGATTTATGTGTCACAGTTGCACATAACTACCACCTTTTGACTCTGTGCAATTGAACACCAATCGTTATTGTTATTTCTAGTCACAAAGAGTTTTGAAAAATTTATATTTATACTTAAATATTATTAATGTATCCAACTCATGTTTAATGGATCCAAATTATGTAACTAGACGATAATTTTTGGAAGTGATAAAATTACCAAAAATATAAAAAATACTGTCTATGAATGTAAGACTTTGTTAGTGTGCTTATAACTAGCTGTACTTCAGTATTTGAGTCTTGAGATCAGGAATTTATTTTTAATCAAGGTTTTGTATTATGTGTTGCTCTATATGACTCGGAAGTAGAGTGAATGTATATGCTATTCTTCTATCTGTGTGGAAAACCAGAAACTCACAAGTTACTCTCAATGCTAGCCTCACACCAGGGCTGATGATGGCAACCTCCACTCTTAGGGTATTTCCTGGGTCATTTCATTGGCCACATAATGTGTTCCCTCTATGTAATGAAGGGAATAATTTTTTCTTGGATTAAATGTGTTGATTCTGATACTTGAGTTGTGAAAACTGTTATGAAACATCTGGTACAATAGATTGTAGATCACACTATAATATTATGGGTTGCTACCAGCCATAAAATCTGTGATTATTTCATTACTCTGTGAATGTACTAATAGAGCAGGTTTCTTTAAGGTTTGTTGAAAAGCCTATCAGACATAAGAAAATATTTCATTTTTTTCCAAGAATCAAAACTGTAGTGATCTGTCAATTTGTTCAGTATTATGTTCTATGACGGGCAAACATTAAGATAATTTGGAGTCCTGTATTGTATGTTTTATTATTGTTAATTTTATTTCCTTGCAATTTGTTTTTCCGTCCCAAAGCTTTGTTTTAAAATAATTACTATTTCAGAAACAGTATCTTGGTTTTGCTTCCAAAGGGTGTCCCTCATGTTTTTATGCAGGACCAAAGCTGATTGTGCTCCATTCCATCATTATTGTAAACTCATGCTGATCTCGATAGTTACCTAATGCGTGTATATTACTTACAAGAGTTCCAGAACATTCCAGCACTCCTTCTCTAATAAACATTGACAGCGCTAACTTTACGCTTAAAATTGTACTTTGCAACGTTTGCATTGCTGGGGATGGCAGTTGAGGAAGTAATCGACATCGCTTGTCACGCCTTACATTCCTTTTGCGGTGGTGTCGCAGGCGATGCTCCGCGTGTTGTGTGTTGATGTACTAGTAGTACTTGCCGTATTTGTAAATATGTCACACAATGACATGAATGTATTTATATTTTCCTGTTTTCTAATATAGTTATAATAAAACAATTATTTACTGAAATGAAATTTTTCATAATCATAGTTGATGAAGATGAATCAGATCTATTCAGCCCAGTTAACGTATCCATGCAGCAATAAAACAAATAGCTATGGCTGCACCTGGAAAAAAAAATCGTCATAACAAAAACACTACAAACTGGTGTGTGTTCATAGAGGGAGGGGAATCCCACTTTTCCGGGACTTCCCTACCGGAGGACCGAGCGCTCTCGGCACAGCTGCCCTCTGGCGGGCGTTGCTGGCGTTGCCGCCCCTCCCCGGAGGCGCTCTGTGGCCGCGTCGTCCGCGGCGTCCGCGGCGTCGACGTCGCCGCCACAGCCGTGCTGTTGGAGGCCGTCGTGGCGTTGCCTCCAATGCCTCCAGCCGCAGTCACGTTGGGGGCGAGGGTGGTGGAGGCCACCGCTGCCGCTGTCTGTGGCTGGTCCGACGACGAGAGTTTCTGCTCCGAAAAGGAAAATTAAATGAACGAACAACGAACGTGGGAGGGGATGGAGGATTTGGAACCACGAACCTGCGCGATGGCGGGCGTGCCGTAAAGGCACTGGCGCACGACGGGCTGCTCGCTGCCGGCGAGGGCCTGCAGCATGGCGTGCATGGCGGCGGCGGGGACGCGCGCCACGGAGGCGGCGGGGAGGCCGACGAGCACGCAGCCCACGGCCCGCACCGTGCTGGCGCCCCAACCGCTGGGGTCCCCGAACGCGTCGCCACTCTCGGCGAGCAGGGCCAGCGCGCGCACAGGCAGGGTGCCGCCCCCGGGGTCCACCCCCGGCACCATGACCACCCCCGGGGTGCTGCCATCGCCCGCCCCCGGCAGAGGCACCGCCCCCGGCATCCCCGGGCACCGCAGCAGCGACAGCGAGCTGGCGGCCTCCCTGCAGGGCATGCCGCCCGAGCACGGTGTTCGCCGCCATTTCCCGCGCACAGTGAAACGAGACCAACATTAAACCCCCCGGCCGACGCGCGGCCGGCTTTGGCACCCACTTGTAGGCGTCGGCGTGAATCCGCCCGATGTCCGAGGCGTTGAACCCGCAGAGGATGTGGTTCAGGGCGGCGAGGTCCAAGTGGCTCAAGTCCTCGGGCTCCTTCGCCGACCACTGCATCCGCACCGACTCGGCCAGCGTCGACAACTGCCATTTCGAACATCTCAGCATCCTGTCCCTTTTTGCAGCTGCTAATGAAAATACTTTGCCGACCTGCTCCGTGCTGAGGTTGTGGAATGCGCCGAGCGTGGCGACCGTGTCGATCTCGCTGAGCGACAAGTTGGCCAAGTGGTCCGGGGGAATGCCCGCCGCCACCCAGCCCAGCAAGCGGATCGTTTCGTCCGGGATCATGTCCGCCGTCTGGAACGCCTGTCGGATGCATCCGAGTTAGAGTGCCGCGAGTTTCGGGAAATTCGAGGTTTTGAAGCTTGGAGCGCTGGCCCAACCTGCAGCAGGATGTCCCACACGGCGCGCGCCTGGTCCTCGGCGAGGGGGTCCTTGCCCAGCAGCGCGACGCAGGACGAGGCCTCCTGCGGCTGCAGCGCGCGCAGGAAGGCGGCGGGGAGCGCGGCCGCGGACCCCTTCTCCTGCACCGTGGCGCAGGTGACCGTCCCGGGCAGCGGACCGCGAGCCCCCCGCGTCGTCGCCGCCGTCACCGACACCGCCGTGGTGGTCGAGGTGCTCGCATTGGCCGCGAGCAAAGCTGCAACACCCAACCGACGCCAAGCCTCCCGTCAGGAACCCGCGATTCCGGAGCACCGTTGCGTCACTCTGTCTCTCTCGCTCCCCTCCGGGATGCCCCCACGAGTGCGACAGAGACAGAGCGACGAAAATGAGCCCTCGGCGTCGCTCGGCGGGAGGCGGCCGCGCTAACGGCTAACGCCGCGGAAGTTGTCAGGGGTCGTGTTTTGCCGGCCTGACAAGAAATTTCCGGGTGTGCTTTTAATGCGGGAATAAGACCTACACAATGGCCTGCCGGTGACGGTGACGCGGCCCCCGCACCAGGCCCACGCAGTAATCCCCGGGCTGTACGCCTCGCCCCTCGCCCCCTCGAGGCGCCGTCCCGGACACTTATTATTTCGCCTTCCCTCTCGCTCCGTCCTCGGCCACGCCATGGCCACGCTTCGGCCGGGCTGCATTCCCCGCAGTAATGTCGCGAGGGGGGAATAAACGCTGTCAACAAAATGAAGCTGCTCGGCCGCACCAAAGCCCCGCAGCGCTCCCAGCGCTCAGCACCCGCAGCGTGAACGGACGACAAGACGGGCCTCGCCGACACCGTCAGCTGGTGGCCGAGCCCGGAAATACGGCCCCTCCCCACAGTCGGATATTTAAAAAAAAAATCTCCTTGCTAAGCTGGATCCTTGCTTCTGGGAAGGACGCCGCGCGAAGGAGCATAGCGGCCCGCTGGACCGTGGCGCTTGTTTGTTCGTGATTGGGTAGGACTCGAAAGCGCGAGCCACCCGCCCCGCAGGCTTCAGAAAGGGTTCACCACACCCACACTTCTCGAAAACAGTAAACCATCTCGTTCCCACGTAATATCCGGCGTCCGATTGGCCGCGACTTCGGGCTGAGGCAGCAGACCCTTTAAGCCTCCGCTCGCTCCACTCGTACCAATACCTGCGGGAAGAAGGACGAGCAGTCCCAGGAAGCAGAGAGCGGCCAACATGATCGGGGTTGAGGTGACCACTGAGCTGTGGGCCGAGGCGGAACCGATGGCCCAACCCCAGAGCCCGGCCCCAGGGGAGAGGGTGGGGGCGGGCGGCAGATGGTATGCCTTGCGGCCACCCGGGCCACCCGCCGAAGACCTTTCCGAGCCATTTGCGTGCCCAGACTAGATCGTTCTCCTGCACCGTCGTAAAGAAGTCCCCCTCCCCGAAAACCTTTCCTCGGATCCTCGCGCTCTGCGTTGACCGAAAGTGACCCAATTCGCTAGAACAAGACCAGACCGGGCGGTTGAATCAGCCCGCCACCTTGAAAGGGGATCGCAAGAGCGGCTAGAAAGCCTGCAGGCCGAGGACGCCGAACGGTACTGCTCCGTCTCTCTCGCACTCGTGGGGCATCCTGCGTGCGAGAGAGACGTAGCGGGAAAACGCGGGGCGGAGACGCTCTGCTGCCGCCAGCCCCGTGGGGTATTTGAAAGAAGCCGCTCACACTATTTCACCGGGCGGCGCGATGGCCCCTTCGGCGTGGGGTACATCATCGAGTGCTGCGCGTGGAGTGGGGGATGGGGGTTGTCGACGGCGGGGGGCTTTGGCTCCACATCGCCGTGCCCGGGCCGCCCAACCGGCCTGTCCCGGGGGCATCCCTTGGAGGTCACTGCGGCGGGGTGCGTGCGCAGCGTGGCGCGGCGTGGCGCCCGAGCGCAAGGCCCCCGACACTGGGGATGATTAAACCAAGCCGGCGGCGAGCCCTGGGCAAGGCCCTGGGTCATCCATAAGTTACAGGGCGCAAGGCGCAAGGCGCGTTAGGCCCGGCGATGGCCGCGACACGTCGCCGCCAATATTGCGCTGCGGGGGCCGAGAGGGCCGAGAGGACCGAGAGGACCGAGAGGACCGGAGGGCCTTGGACCTGGGAGGCGCCCCGGACACCTGGTGCCCGCCGTGCCTGCCGTGTAATTTTCGCTCCGACGCGCTGAAAACGAATTTGGCTGAAACGAATTGGGCGCAGCCGCGGACAATGCGAAGGGAAACCCTTGTCCTTAGCGCCGCGCGCCCAGGAGCCCGCCAGCCAAGAGCCAAGCACTTGACTGGCCGAAGCCGCTATCAGCGAGGGCGTGGCGGCGCGCGGGGCGGCGCGTGGTGGCGGCGGGCCGTCCTGTGCGAGTGTGCCCGCAAACGGCATGCAGTGCCATGCGGTGCCGCCTGGCGGCCCTGGCGGCCCTGGCGGCGCTGGCTGTGCTGCAGGTGGGCGGCCCGCTCGCGGCCTCGGCCGCCACCGCCAGCAGCACCACCTCCACGACGGCGTCCTCGAAACCGGATGTACGGAACTCGCTGCACGGATGTCCGAGTTAACAAGCGCCGTGCGTGCGCCTCCACTTGATCGCTGTGTCACTGTAGTCGTCGACGGCGTCCTCCGCCGCGTCCTCCAATGCGTCCCGGGCGCGGCCCTTCCTCAACGCCACGACGCCGACGTCCAGGAGGGCTGCGGTCCGTGGTCGCCTGCTGGACGACGCGGAGCCGGCGTGGGCCTCCCTGCCCTCCTACGAAGATGCCTCCACGACGGCCGCCACCAGTGCCACCGGTGCCACCGCTACACCCGCGGCCAGGGGAGTGTCCCGGTCCGTGCTGTCCGAGTGGGAGGAGTTCAAGGTGAGCAGCAAGCGGGGCAAGCGGGGGAATGCCGAGTCCGCGTGCTCGTCGTGCTCGTCGTGCCCTGCTTGACTTGGTGGATGCGTTCCAGAGGAAACACAACAGGACGTACCACACCCGCGACGAGTTGAAGAGGATGGCGTCGCTGCGGCGGTCCCACGGCCTCAACACGTCGGTGGGTACACTGGCTGCATGCTGGCTGCACTCTGCAGCGGCGGAGGACCCGGAGGACTCGGTGTTGTTGAGGGCGGACGAGCGGCTGGTTTGTTCCCTGCAGCTAGACACGCACCACTCGGACGAGGACCGGATGAACGTGTTCATAGGCCGCAAGATGGTCATCGAAGAGTTCAACAAACAATCCAAGTCCTTCAAGAGAGCCCTGAACCAGTTTGCCGATTTGGTAAGTCAATTTCTTCTTACTGCCGTCATACAGTTGGGATTTGAACCCGTGCCGTGGCGCAGTCGCCGCAGGAGGTGGTGACGAAGCACACGGGGCTGCTGCTGACAGGCCGCAAGCCCAAGGGCATGCCCTTCGACCACAAGACCAGCGGGCGCCTCCTGCCCGTCGTGCCCCGCCGCTTCGACTGGAGGGAGAAGGGCGCCCTGACCGAGCCCAGGAACCAGGCCACCTGTGGCTGCTGCTGGGCCTTCGCCGCGGTGAGTGGACAGGACGCGCGAGCCTCGCGCCGCGGGTTCAAACGCCAGCTTTGAATCCTCTTTTTGGCGTACCAGACGGCCGCCCTGGAGGCCAAGAACTTCATCCGCACGCGGCGGCTGGTGCCGCTGAGCGAGCAGAACCTCCTGGACTGCGACACGCTCAACGAGAAGTGCGACGGCGGCACGCCCTGGGACGCCTTCGACTGGGTGCAGTTCAACGGGGGTCAGGAGGAGTCCACCAACTACCCCTACGAAGTGCTGGTGCGTACTGCGGCGCTGCGGTTTGGCGTGTCTCCTGGCGGCGCCTGCGAGTCACGTCCGGGGAGCCTACTGTCCGCAGCCCGACCGCTGCCGCCAGGACAAGACGCGACTGTTCCGGATCAACATGCGCGGCTACATGAGCGTGTACCCCGCCACCGAGGAGAACGTCATGACCGCCCTGGTGACCGAGGGTCCGCTCGCCGTCGCCGTCAACCCCAATCTGGCCTCGTTCCAGGACTACCGCGAAGGTGAGGGTCACGGCGGCCGGGACGACAGTTCTTCCGAAGCAGGAGAAACTTCCCGCGACGCGCCAGTGTCGAAAAGGTTGCCAATCTAAGCCTAGTAGGTTGCCTGGTAGGCAGGCTAGGTTGACGATTCTTTCGTCGTGAGGTGCATCGTGGAAATTTTCACCTATCAACACTGTGGCCGCCAGTAACAAGCCGTTGGCGGGCGCAGGCGTGTACTCAGACCCGGAGTGCAGCTCCGCGGAGGACGAGCTGCGCCACGCCATGCTGCTGGTGGGCTACGGCGACGACCCGGCGGACGGGCCCTTCTGGACGCTGCGCAACTCGTGGGGCCGCGACTGGGGCGAGGGCGGCCACATCCGCGTGGCGCGGAAGGACAACCTGTGCGGCGTCACGTCCTTCGCCGTGTTCCCGGTGCTGGGCGACGCGCCGGCCGCACCGCCCGCCGCGCCTGCCACGGCCGCGCCTCCGCCCGCCTGAAGCGCATTGCGATGCAAATGCCACCGGACTCTTCTTCACGTCGAAGGCTGGCCGGACTGCGCGTCGCGACGCGCCGAGTGCTAGTCACGGCCTACACTGCCAAACGCGAGGCGAGGCGCATTAAAGTCGCCCGAAACAAACATTCTGTTTGGCCGTTCGGCAGCACGGTAACCCCGACCCCGGCGGCGGCGGCGGCGCTAACCGCGGCCAGGCGCTAATCAGCAGAGGCTCGACAGCAGCAGGCAGTGGCAGCGGCAGCGCGACCCCGCCCCGCGTAGCGCCCCGGGCCCCGCGGAACGACGCGGTACGACGCGGAGTCGCAGCGGCTGAGGCGCCTTACCTCGACTCGCCTCGACTCGACGGCCAGCTGCTGCGGGGCTCGCTGCGTAAACACTGCAACGTGTATAGCCCAGTGGCCATACAAGCGGTATCATGCACCAATGTCGGAAGGGTTGCCAACCTCAGCCTGCCCACACGGCAGTATGAGCTTTACTGTCGACATTTTATACCCTGAACGAGGCTGTGGCTCACAACCCTTTCGACACCGGCGCATCATGGGAATGCATGCTTCACATGAGGAAACACTGCGGGGTGGTGTTAATTTTCAATTGAATTTTAAACGATTTTCAAGGTGTTGGTGCATAAAATCGGCCGGATCGGCGAACTCTGTGCGAGTGGATTCCCTGGCGGTGTACGCGCCACGCGTGTCACACTGTCACGCCACGGCCGTGCGGGGTCAAGGCCCGCGGGCCGGGCGGGGCCGAGCCGCGCCAGACAATGGGGCACCTCCACACCCTCCGCGCCCCCCGCTGCCATAATCCCAACTTGGCAGTACCCTTCATTTGGAAGCGCGCTAAGTAAAGCGTCTAAGGCGCCTGCTAAGTTCCCCTCAGACTCGTACCAGTGGGCTGGTGATAATTAGGGTGGGGGCGCGCTTGGCCTGGCTTCGCGCGCCTCGCGAGGAGGCGGTGGAGGTGGCCGAAGTGCAAGGCGGGGAAGGGGCGGGGGAGGGGAGGGGCAGCCGTGCCGGCGCCAAGCGCAGCATCAGTCAGGCGCCATCCAGTCCTCTCCTCGCGGCTCGCCTCGCCTCGCTTCGCGCTTCGCGTCGCCACCAGCGAGCCTCGCGTGATTCGCGATCCCTTCGCGTCGTTAATGACGTCCAGTGTACAGTGATGCCGCCAATTGGATCAGCATGATCACAGTGCAGGAGGAATCGAGCAGGTGAGCAGGTCGGCGACAGCGGTAGTGCCGACTAGAGCCACAGTGGGGTGAGTAGCCGTGCCGCCCGTGGCTGCCTGCACCATCCCTCCTCCCACGACAGCCTACTGGGACCACCCTGGAAACAGCTGAAGACAAGGAAAACGTCATTTTCCGCAGGTTTTATTTGTTTTTTTCTATCCTTCCCCATGCGCACTATCCAACACTCCCATAGAGCACAGCGTTCGCCCCGGTCGCTGGCAGAAGACTGATTCAAAACGTTCCGCTCCGTCTCTCTCGCGCCGCAACGGCTCGCCCCGCGAGTGCGAGAGAGACGGAGCGACACCGCGCTGAGCCCTCCGCCCGCCCCGCCCACTTGTTGCAGTAGCGAGGTGGGCTTCTCTGACGACGCGGCGGACGCGGCGCAGCCCCAACCCCAGCCGACGGCGCGGCCGCGCGCCCGGCCCTCCAGCCCCGCCAGCCCGTCGCGCATGGAGACGCACCTGGAGTCGCCGCTGGAGTCCAACGCGCTCGGCAGCCGCCGCGACCATCCCTTCGTGTACCTGCAGCCGCCGGCGCCGCGCATGGACCGAGGTCGCAAAAAATAAGCGCCAACACTTTAAATTTTAAACCAAGCAGTGTACTCACGGGGCGTTTTAACGCAGGCTGGCGCCGCCCCTCGGCGCCCTCCATCTTCCACCACATCGAGTCGGCGCTGAGCCGGCGCCTGAGCAACACCGGCGGGCCGACGGTGACGTTCTCGCCGCCGTCCTCGCCGCCCTCCTCGCCGCCACCGTCGTCGTCCGCGACGCTGCCGCTGCCCTTGCGACAGTCCGTCTTCCCCGCCGCGCCCTCCAGCACCGCGCCATGCAGTGCCGTGGCGGTGCGCCGCCCCTCCGCCGTGGTGCTGCTGACGCACGCCAGCCCGCCGCGCGACGAGGAGAGGAGGTACTTAAAAGTACAGTACTTGAAAATAAAAAATTAATCTTACTTTTTTTTTTAACGGGCCGCTCCCTGTTGAAGGTTAATGGACTCGCCCGACCTGCTGGACCGCGACTCGACAACGTCGTTCATGCCCCTGCAGTGCGATGAGTACCTCAAAGTCACGCCCAAGTTCGAGTAAGCGTCTCGCCTCGTCAATGCAAGCCAAGTTCAAGCCCGCACTCTCTCTCAAATATTTTCATTTTATTTTTAAATTTTAATTTTTAGCGACACGATTACGGTGTATCTTTCCGCCATGTACGCCAAGCTGCTGGTCGTGCTGGGGATATCTTTTCCAATTTTAGAAACCATCCGTTCCGATGGAAAATACTACCAGGTGACTTTCAGGTTGATAAATTATTTTAAAACATAAAGATACATTTTTTAAAAAATTTCCTACTTCACAGGGTTTCTACTTGTACCTGTACATCGGCACGTTCGTGTTCCTCTCCTTCATGTACGGCAACATGCTCAAGAAACGCGCTGTCGTCTTCGTCGTCAACACCTACAGTGCGTACCACCCGACCCAACTCCCATAACCGAGTGACTCGAGGAACAAAATATGTAGATCCACTTGTCGCATTCTGAATTAACATCGTGCGTGACTGCAGGAAGAAAGGAGAGCCACCCGCGGCCCAGCATTGACTCCACGGCCATGGGGCGGCTGGGCTCCAACAAGCACTACGGCAGCTTCTACCTGCGCCTGGGCGCCATCGGTGAGCGCAGTGTGGCAGCGCGGCAGTGCGCAGCGGCAGAGTCCAAACACACCAACTCGTTTCGCCGCACAATTGTCGCCGGGGACGCCGTGCCGCGTCAATGGGTCGCTGCAGACTGATTCCGAGAGTCGTTTTCGTCGCTCCGTCTCTCTCGCACTCGTGGGGAGTCCCGTGTAGGTGCGAGGGAGACAGCCCGCTCTGGCCTCCCGTCGCTCGTCCGGCGGCGTCACTTCCTCGGCGAGTCTGCGACGAGCGGCGTGCCGCGCTCGCGAGGCAAAGTCGAGCCAAACAAAGCCCGCAGTGTTATGCAGCCTGAATTCTGAATGAAAACCGGGGGCGTTTACGGTAAACGGGACGGGGAGGCCGGGGGGGGGGGGGCAAAAGGCCTACAGCCCCTGTGCCGCTTGCTAATACAGTACGGGACACTGTTCTGCCCCCGCCTCGCCCCGCCCCCCTTTCCACGCTCCCGCAGCTCCAATTGCGACGCAGGATTAGGGCTGGCGTCGGCCTACCAGGTGGCTGATTCCGAGAGTCGTTTTCATCGCTCTGTCTCTCTCGCACGTTCACGGGACGCGCCATGAGTGCGAGAGAGACAGCGACGACAGCGGCTCCCGGAATCAGCGTGCAGGCGGCTCACTCGGCGCCGAGCCTGCCGCCCGACAAAGGACAACGCCCGTCGCAAATTAAAGTTTCCGTTCTTCTATTTCCTTGATCAACATAAATGAATTGGCCGAATGTCTCGCAGCCTTCGGCATCGGCAGCATGGTGTTTTCCGGCCTCGAGTTCGGCCAGTTCTTCGAGCTGACGGCCGAGTGCAGGTGGGCGACGCAAGCGCTGACCCCGGCCGCGCGCATGGTGCTCACCCTCGTGCAGATGCAGTTCATATTCCTCAACAACAGGGTGAGCAGGGCGACGGCCCAGTGTGGTGCTTTTTGCGGTGTAGGCACACTCCAAGACTCTGATCGGCCCGCAGGAGATGGACATGATGCGGCACAAGGTGGCGGCGCAGTTTGGCCTCATGCACATGATCGCCACCAACCTGTGCGAGTGGCTGACGGTCATCATCGAGGAGGCCAAGCACGAGATCGAGCACCTGCACCACAGCTTCAACGGTAGCTATATTCACCTGCCCCGCCTGCCTCCGTATCCCCCCTCCCCCTCCACGGCCCGGCCGGAGATTTACCCCCTTCATTCCGGGGCATTAACGAAGCCCACATAAAACGAGTTAATTGGAAAATGGCGCGTGGCTGCAGCTGGGACGGCGAGGCGGTGCGAGGCGGTGGGGCGAGGCGCGCGTAGCGCCTGCGAGTGGGAGCATGTAGCCGCTTGAGGTTCTTCTCCGCCGGCATAACGTGTCACCCTAGTAAGGACGGCCATGTCTCGTTTTGCAGTGCAGGCGAGCATGTGTCGGGCCCGAAATGGCATACGATCATGTGTGGTCTAGCCCTTAATGGTAATGGTAATGCGGACGGCGGGGTAGGCACCCCGGCGCACGGCCGCGTGCAACGGGCCTGCCCGCGCGCACCTCGCAGGCGCTCCGCGTCGGGCTTGACTTCGGGCGCCTCCAGCACTCACTCACGTTTTCTCCTCTGCTCCGCAGGCTCTGGCGGCCACGGCGGCCACGGCGTCCACGGCGGCCACAGCGCGCACGGCCACGGCGCGACGGGCCACCACCGCGCCGTGCGCGACGGCCACGACGACGCGGCCAACGGCACGTGCGTGACGCCCACGGACATCCTGGGGACCTTGGTGCGCAACGCGTCGCCATTCCTGTTCCCTTGCACTGTGGAGTACTCGCTCATCTGCGCCGTCGTGCTGTTCGAGATGTGGAAGAACACGCACAAGGGCGGCCACGGCCACGGCCACAGCCACCACAGCCCGGCCAGGGACTCGGCCGTGTCCACCCAGGGTGAGTAAGGGGCCGCCTTGCACCGCCATCGCGGCGCGCAACGCGCTCGAAAGAACCCGGAAATGCCCCCCGCTGCCGCCGCCAACATTTCGGCGTTCCGTCTCGCGTGCCGGTAGCGGCAGGCGAGGCCAGCACGACCAGCCAGGCGATGGAATGGCTCGGCTCGACCCACTTGGCCGGCTTGCATGGCTGCATCTGACAACGCGTCAAACGGCCAGCCCGGCCGGCCCCTACCCGGAGCGAGGGCCGTGCTGGTCGTGCTGCCGGCGAAAAAATAAGTGGATCGTGCCTTTCGTGGGGACTAGGGTATCGACAGGGTCATTACTTTCGAATCTGAGTGTACAGCGCAGTTGGGTTCGGTTCGGTTGGGTTCGGCCAGCACCCCGGCCGGCGCGGCGGCGGCGGTCCTAAACGGTTTCATATCAAGGCGGGGCTGGGTCCCTACGCTGGGCCGGGCGGCGGGCCGTGCGCCAGTGTGGCAGGTCGGGATGCGAGGCGAACGTGGCGGGGCGTGGCGGGGCGGGGCGTGGCGGGGCGTGGCGGGGCGTGGCGGGGCGTGGCGGGGCGTGGCGGGGCGTGGCGGGCAGGCGGCAGGCACGCCGGGAATATATGGCAATGGGCTGCATGCGAGTGCCCGCTCAGCGGATTGTGCCCGCCCCGCCCCGCCCGCAATGAAACGACCAGGGCTGCGTCCGAGGAGCCCCGCCCCGGCGTCTCGCGTCTCCGTCACTCCCACGGCGAGTCCCACGGCGGCCGACAGTGTGGTGGCGTTCCCGAACGCGGTCCCCGGCGCCGCGTGTGCCGATCGGCCTGGTCCGCCTCCCCCCGGCCTGCACGGCGCACGGCCTGCACGGCCTGCCCGACCCGCGTCCGCAGCTCCGCACCACTGGCCTCCATTTCATGCATTTCGTATATGGCGGTGCATGGCGGTGCATGGCGGTGCATGGCGGTGCACTGCCTCGCTCCGCGGAACTGACCAGGGGCAAATAGAATCGCGTGCGCGCACGGCTTGCCCGGACCTTACTTACAAGCGGCGCCCCCCTCCCCCCTCCCCTCCCCTCGGCCGCCTCCCCTACACCGTAATGCACTCTGCCGCGCCGGCCGCCGCCCTGCAGCGCAAATGGGCCTCGGCCCGGCACGCCGCTCGGCACGCCGGCAGCTGCATCGGCTGTTTGTTTTGTTTGGGCCGCTCCGCTTGCTCCGCTGCGCCGCCACGCCACGCCAGCGATTCGACACGAAGGGACGGACGCAGGACGGAGGGAGGAAAACAAGGCCTTCGCTTCGCTTCGCGGGATGGATTGCGCGCTGTGCGCTGTTCCCACTGGCCGGCCGCCCGGCCGTCGGGCCATCGGGCCCCAGCAACAACAAGGAGCCTATCGGGCTGGAAAGCCTGCCTCGCTCACACACACACAGGCGCACAAACACACAGAGACCCGCACAGAGGCACTCCCACGCAAGTGTCACACGCACGAGGCATTTCGGATTTACTGATTGCTTTGTTATCGGCAGATTAAGGACCGCTGGTTTGTTCACAGAGTTGGGCGGCCACGGCGTGCGCTCCGCCAACCACCTGTCCGTGGACTGCACCAAGGCGCACAAGGGCCTGTTCGCGGGCATCGTCGTCGTGGTGCTCACCATCATCTGCCTCGTGCTGTACTTCGTGCTCAAGGAGGCCGAGGGCTTCGAGGCGTCCGGCAGGCTGGTGGTGAGCGTGTGCGAGCTCAGCCTCAACATCATCACCACCATCGCCGTGCTCAGCGCCTTCTACGAGGTCCGGTCGCTCAAGTACCTCAGCAAGCACGGCGGTAAGGATGCCTTGTTTTTCGAGAGTGGAGCTCGGATCGCGACTTGACTGTGTCCCCGTTGCAGGCCTGGGCCTGGACAACACGCTGCTGGTGATGGCGCAGGTGGGCGTGTTCCTCTACAACTTGTTCTCCGTGCTGGGCTACGGCGCGCAGGCCATCAACGTCCGGCAGCTCGTCACCGAGATCATCGGCCTGATGCAGGCCATCTGCCAGACCATCTTCGTGCTGGACTCGACGCGGCGCCGCTGCTCCTGCCCGCGCGAGTACCGCCGCAAGCCCGGCCGCCAGATGGTCACGTTCCTGCTCGTGTCCAACATGGCCATGTGGCTGGTCAACACGCTGGAGAAGTCGCAGGCCAGCGCGAGGCCCCTGCTCTTCGACTTCTACGGCAAGTGGACCTGGACCCTCATCGTGCACATCTCCATGCCCCTCGCCATCTTCTACCGCTTCCACTCCACCATCTGCCTGTTCGAGATCTGGAAGTGCTGCTACAAGCTCAAGAACCCCTCCGTGCACAACGGCGTGGCCCTGCGCAAGCACACCGACTCGGAGCGCAGCGCCACCAACTGACGAACCGCCACGCCATCCTGCCACGCCCTCCTCGGACACCTGCAACTACTTTTAAGGTTCATCCTCTCTTTCTTTACTTTACCCACTTTGTTATAGGAGACTGTACGGCGCAACTTAAGCGAATAAAATCTAGTTCTTTTTTCCTAATCCGAGCGGATTGCAGCGCATTATTCGCCGAATGCACGGCATTGCATTGCATTGCACTGGCTGCAGCGATGCAGCCGCGCACCGCCAGGCGGCGCCACGGAGCTAATCCAGGGAATGGACGACCCGCCGAGGGGGAGGGGCGGCCATTTAAATATTGAGAGGCCAACCTGCACGGAGGAACCCCCCCCCCCCTTTCCCACTCCCTGCGTCGCTCGCCGAGCCCCGGAGCCCCCGCCGGGGTCGGTCTTACACGACTAATTGACTAATTGAAATACAGGCGGCGGATTCATCCTGCGAGCGAGGCAGCGAGGCCCATAGCAGACTGATTCCGAGAGTCGTTTTCGTCGCTCTGTCTCTTTCGCACTCATGGGTCATCTCTACTTGGTGCGAGAGAGACAGAGCGGCTCTCGGAATCAGTCTGCAGTGCACAGAGCCCCACCCGGCCCCGCCCCCGCTGGGGGTAACGGACGCGGCGTGACGACGACACGGCGACGGTCCCCAAGGCCCTGTCCAAGGCCCTGTCCAAGGCCCTGTCCAAGGCCCTGTCCAAGGCCACCCGACAAGTCCTCGGCAGCGACGGACAAAAGGGGTATATTGCCGATATGCAAATGCGGACGAATGACATCCGGGACGCGGAGGCAGCAGCGCCGGCCGCCTCGGACAATCTAAACAGCCGTCTGGCGAGGCCGGGGGGCTGGCGGGCTGGGGGGCCGGGCCACAGTCGATCTGATCGGCGTGGTCGTCGTGTACCGGGGCGTGGTTAATCATGGCCGATAAAGCCGACATCGGGCCGGCATGCAGGGAGATTCCGGGCGGTGCTGCCCCCGATCTGCCTCTCTCACACTTGTGGGACGTGCCGCATAGGTGCGAGAGAGACACAACGACGGCCGCACTGCACGGTGTCGCCGGTAGTGGCGTGGGGTTGAGAGGGGGGGGGGGAGGGCGCCACCGGAGATCCCGAGGTGGACAGACCAGCCAGCTGGCTTGCTGCTCCGGCCTGGCCGCCCTGATGGATGGATGGCATGGCACCGGCCGATATGGTAAATGGAGCGCGGAGAAGGGCGGAGAGGGGGTGGGGAGGGGTTGTCTGGAGTGTACAGCCCCGCAAATGGATTTTTTCCTCAAAGTATTTAGCTTTTTCTGCGCCCCGCCCTTTCCGGCCTTCCATAAAGAAATTTGGTTCTGTGTTTTTATTGGCCGAGGCCGGATTTCTGCCCTTCTCCGTGATGGAGGCGCTGAGGCAGGAGGGCTGTGCAAACACTAGAAGCGGCGGCTCAGCCCGGGGCGGGCCGGGCCGGGAAGTGTACCGCATCACGAACCAAACGGGGCCAAGGACGACCAAGGACGACCTGCGAGGCGAGGCGGCGCCGAGGGCCCGCCGGCCACCGCGACGGCCAAGCAGTCCCTGGGTTCGACACGCTGCCCACTCGGGCCGCAAACAGCAAACACCCACGGCGAAAAGAAATCCGGGCAGCGCGGCCGGGCCTCTCGGCGCCTCTCGCCGGAGCACGCGCGCGAAACGCGGCGAACCCGCGGAGTCCTTATCCGAGTGCGCCTGCCTGGCTGCCTGCCGCCTGCCTCTCGGCGGGGCGGCGCTCGTCCTGGATTAATCGCGACGCATCAAGGCCGAGCTGGCAGGCAGCATAGCAGCATGGCAGCACTGGCCCGGAGTTCCGTCAACAAATGGCGCGATCTGCCGGAAGTGCGCGGCATGCGCGATATTATATTCATGGCTGCGATCCACGCCGCCGGGCCGTCCGGGGCCGTCCGTCAGGGCGGGGCGAAGCGGGTTGAGATTGTGGCGGTGGCAGCGCGGCAGCGGGAGGCTCATCACAGTGCTTTTGTCGGCGTGTCTCTCTCGCACCCCTACCGGACGCGGCGTGTGAGTGAGAGAGACAGAGCGGTGAGAGCGCGGTTCGGAATCAGCCTGCAGGAGGCCGCCCGCCCCGCCTCGCCACCGCCGCGCCGAAACCAACAATCGGACTCGCCGGCCGCCGCGCTCTCCATCAAGCAGCGCGGTGCCGCGTCTGGTCTGGTCCACGGCCCGAGGCCAAGATAATGTACTTTTCGGCCGTGCGCCCGGCCCAGGCACCTCTTCAAAAAATGCTACGAGCTTTCACCGCGCCGTCTCTCTCGCACTCACGGGGCGTCCAGTGAGGGTGCGAGAGAGACAGAGCGACGAGAGGCGCGCTCGGAAGCAGCCGCCGGCCGGCAACGAGCAGGCCGCCGAGGCCGCTGGCGCCGCGGAAAGGGAAGTCCCATCGGCCGGCCGGGCCGCGAGGCAGCGAGGCAGGCCGGGGGCCGGGAGCAGCAGGCTGACGTATTGCCCGCCTCGGGGGCCTTGGGAGCGGCCCGGCAGCCCGGCCCGCCGACTGGAACACAAATGAGTAATGTTCCGTTTGTCAATCAAGCCCATGGTCACACTGCTCTTTCTCCCTCCCATCTTTCTCCTCCGATCCGCGAGGCGGCCGCGTCCGCGGCGGCGTGAAAAGGGCCAAGGGCCTCACGAAGAAGACAGAGAAGGAAGACAGAAAGAGAATAAGAGGAAAAGAGACGGGGAAAAAAATAAAAGTTTGCCTGGAAGAGGCGCTGTGCTGTTCGAGTTCGCGTAGGCTGCGACGCGCCCATCAATCTGCCAAATGAAGTTCTCAGACGTGAGGCGCATTCGTCACGTCCGATTCGAAAAAAAAAGTATTCCACGAAAAAAAAATCTCATTCAACGAACGTTAATGAAAGCAGATGATCCGTTGCGTTTTACATCTGCTGTGTTAGCCGAGAGGTTAGAGACGTGGGATCGAGTTACCGCAGGCGGGCGTTCGAATACCAGCGTCACAAAAGTTTTTTCGACTTGCTATCTTAAGGGTGGTGGTTCGAGGCCATGAGAGCGGAGTCGTGTGCTACAGGCCCACATGCCGGAGGTTCGACTCCTAACAAATATTTCCATTTAATTTTACTGCCTCACCGAGTGCGGTTCAAACCCGTAAACGTGAGCCCACCCCGAGCATGGGACGTGGTGGTCCAGGGAGTAGAGGCGTCGGTTCTCAGTGCTAGGGTCGGCGGTTCGACTCCCCCAACTTCTTGCGAAATTTTGACCGGGTCGGTCGAGTCCTGTTGCGTCAAGAACCCACCTCACGCCGGTCCCCTCATCATGGGCCGTGGTGGCCAAGAGCGTAAAGTCGTCTGATCCCGATGGCGGGGTCCGGGGATCGAATCCCATCATTTCATTACATTTTTCGAACGCCTTCCTCCCAGTGCAACTCAAACCCGTCGTCCAACACGCTGCCACACGTACAAGCGTGATAGCGTAGTGGTCAGAGTCACATTCACCTGGCCACTCCGCTGTGGGTGTCTAAAAAGCAATCCGCTTCGGCGGGTTGGCCTCGGCACTGGAGCGATGGAGTATTTGATCCATCAATCCAGACCATCCGGTGTGTGGTTGCGGGTGGTGCCTCCTTGACTCGTCGGGGAGGCGATGATAAGTCCTTTGAAGCTGGCCTAAAACGCTGTATGTTCGGTACGGGAGCGCCGGACAGTGGGGGTACCATGGGGTACACAACCAACCCTACGAAAACAAGAAGCTCCCACCAAACCTCTTCTCTGTCTGAATCTCTCTCTGTCTCTCTGTCGTCTCACTCTACGTCCCGCCCCTCGAAGAGCTTCGTACTGGGTGCTCTCACCCAGCTGCCTGAGCTTTGGGGTCCTACTGGGTCCCCCGGCGAACGCTTGGGTCGCTGACGGGATTAACCCCAGGTACCTGATAGCACCGGTTCCCATCCCGAACACCGAAGTAAAGCAGGAGGCCTCCCCATTAAGACTGGGGAGGGGGTGTAGAGTTCAAATTTTTTTCTTTTCCCTTTCAAATTTCTCAGTCAATACTCGTTCGGTTTCCTTATACGGGGCAGTATGCGGGCTCATTCCAAAGATAGTAATTAAAATGGAGAATTTTCACCGTATTATGCAGAATGTTCAGTGTAAGACTTTTAGAGTGTTGAGCCGTCCCCTGTCACCATCGGCCACGCCGCGCCACGCCGCGCCACGCCGCGCCCCGCGCCACGCACGCTGCTGATGCACGATTCACTTCGCCTCGCACGTCAGCACCCTCGGCCCCACGACACTAGCCTCAGCCTCCACCCTCCCTCTCGACGCTCCCCGTCTGGAGGCATAAACACAGCGGTGGGGGAGTGGGGAGCGGGGAGGGGGGCGGTACAAGACAATGCGGGTCGATCCGATATCGTCCGTAATCTAATATATAGTTTTGAACACACCAAGGACGGCGAGAGGGTTGTCGGCGTTCATGTGTGCGACACCACTCACTACTGTCTGTCTGTCTGTCTGTTTGCCCGTCCGACAGATACGTATGTTTGACTGACTGGGGCCGCAGTGCTGTAAGCACAATGCCTAGCAAAGGCTTCAGCGACAAACCACCGCGTTGGCTTACATACTAAGCCCAGGCCGCCTCCGGAGCTCCGGTCTAATCCCAGTTGCCCACGTGTGTGCGTGTGTGTGCGTGTGTGTGTGCGTGCGTGTGCGTGCGTTCGAGTGGGGCGTGCGGTAGGCCGTGCGGGGTCTGATCCGTGCAATGCGAGCGGGGAAGATCACCCGTGCACGGGTGCGTCCTGCGGGCCAGGGGCTGGGCGAGGGGGTACGGTGGGGGTGGGGGGCCTTCCCTATGCCTGCCCTTCCCGGCACCGCTCCTATTTTGATGGTGGCGAGGATGTTCTCCCCAACATGTTCATCCTGGATTAGGACTGCAGAACGCGCAGCGGGGCAAAGCGGATCCCCGAAAAAGGCAGCAAACTTCTCGCGGCCCCTCACCGGCCAGCTTCGCTCCCCGCTCCTCGCCTCGATCCAAAGGCGGCTATTTTTTCGCCATTTTCGCTTCGGCAGCAGCAGGCCGGCGGGTAGGGCCGGCGGGGGCGGCCGGGGCGTATATCTCCGGCCGGTGCTTAGCCGCACTATCTCTGGGCGCTCTGCGGCGCTCTGCGGCGCTCTGCGCTCGG